GTTAGATAAGTCTAATGGTGATTACGAAGGTACGGAAGCTCGGAAAATTCACTCCGATAAGAAAAGTACTCAAGAATTTGTTGATGAGGGCGACCACATCATCCCTTAAATCTGACCACATAACTACCCAGACTGCAACACCCTGGATTATTATGTTGAGCGAAAGTTCGACAAAACACATTGTAACACAAAAGATTAACTGAAGGCAAGGATTATGGCAGCATTCACTAACTTAAACAAGGAGACCTTCCAGAAGAGTTGTAGGAGATTCCGAAGTCGTCTGGAGGCTGTAGTTGAAGCCAATGGCAATTTTATTGAATAGATTTACTGTGTAGTATTTCAAGATATTTTTGTGTAATATTGGTAAATATATCCGTTAAAATGAGATGTCAGTGTTATTTTCGTTTTTGCGTCATTTAGACAAGAATTTATCCATCGCATCCTGTATATACAAATTAGAGAAACGTCATGATAGATCTTTTCATCTTGAAAAAATCAACAATGTTTTTTTGGGCGGCAATTTTTAACAACTTGAGATTTTTGTTGTTAAAGTTGAATAGTTTAAACGTTCAACATTATGAATAAAAAAAATTAAACAATGTTGATCAAAACACATTCACGGAATTGGACAAAAAAACAACCCATAATTGCGTCAAATTACGCGAAAATATTTTTATAGTCAATTGAGCTTAATTCATAATGTACATGTATATAAATATTGGTAAAAATAAACCAGAAACTGATAAGATAGGGACGGTCAGAATGCACTGCCCACCCGAATTAGACTTACCTCCGGTCGGGAAGTTCGAAGTGATACACAACAGCCCTGTTCTTGGTTAAATTAAAAATAGCATTTAAGCCCCCTTTTTGCGTTTTAAATTCTTTGCATTAATTTGTTTAGTGCTGAATGAACATGTTTCTCCGGGTGCATCAGTGTGCCCCACGGGTGGGGCAGTTTGATGCATTTGACATAATGTCATAAAGGTATAATTTTACGAAAATTCTACTTTCTATGCATTTCAAAATACATTCAACAAATGACCAAAATCCTGGAGTATGTGTTTCCCAAATTTGAAGAAAAAAAAAAAATTTAATTACTTAAAGTTAATTAAATTTTACCTGTTTAAGTTTTACCTGTATACGATCTTAAATTAATATACTTATATATCAGATAAAACACAAGGCAAAACAGCCGATTTTGTTCTCAGCACATCTTTGGAAAGAGAAAAAATCAATGAATGAAGCAGACGATTTTTTATAGATACGAACATATAAATGAAAATATGAAATTAACAGATTATAAAATGTTTATTTTAACAGAAAATAATAATTTCATACATATTGTTCCATATGGCAATATTTCGGCAAGAAAACAGAATATTAAAGAAAAAGGTTTTTATTACTTACATAATTATTTGTTGTCCATCTAAATTAAGATTTAACATTCATTAAACAGACAACTCAAACCTTTTTTTTCTTTGATCCCCAACTTTTTGTGACAAAAAATTGTTACAAAAATCTTGTCTTCTATTGGATGAGAGATAATTTCTTCGGATATATTTATCTTCTTTTGTTTTTCCAAATAAAATTTCCAAAAGTTTCAGCTCAATTAGTGAGATTGTTCAGCGTTTTAGGGGAAAATACATCAACGTGTATTGCGGCGTCCTTCTTGCATACAAATTGAGCAAGGAATATTTAATTATATATTAGAAATCTTTTGTTGCTATATTTCAAAAGATTTTCTTTTCTGCTCAGTAATTTTAAAAGATTTTCTTACCTTTTTTGTTGAACATTTTCTCCATCGTTAAGAACCAAGTTGGCCTTCCATTTACTAATTCTCCTTTCGTTATCAGACCCTCTTTTACAATATCCAAATCGGAAACAATTACAGCAGTGGAGCGTCCAATACTTATTTTAAAAATTTCTCCGTAAATCTTTCGAAACTCCATAATACGGCGAAAAAATTCCTTGGCCCGAATTAGCTGAGGCAAATTTCCAATGATTGGGAATGTTTTTGGTCCTGGAGGTAAATTATAACGTTTTTTGTTAAATTCTATCAAAAAGCAGCGAACCAGGAACAGTACGACAACTCCGATAAACAAAATGATCACACTTTGATTTACTGTAGATGGACTTGTTGATGAAAATGTGGTGTCAGTCATAATTTAGTTGTAGTAATTTACTTCTCAAATATTGCTTCGTATGTTATCTAAGTTCAAAATGACTGAGGTTAATAGATACTGATCGAATCAAACAGAGAAAAGTTACATAAGTTAATATTACATAAGTTAATGTTGACTAAGTTAAAGTTACATAAGTTAGTAATATCTAATAATATTAATAGCTTTGCTTATTCTTCAATCGTTTGTCTTTTTTCACTGTTCATCCGATAAGGTCTTGTTTTCTTTTTCTAACTTTTAACATTAAAGATCTTTGAACATCAAAATAATTTCTCCTTTTCCTTTCTCATTTTCGTTTCTTTCATTCAATTCGGACTATTTTCATTTGTTTCTTGATTGAAGTTCGATCCATCAAAGTTTTTTTATCGATCTCTTCATAAAACTCTTGTTCTCGTTTCAATTGCGTAAATATGGATCACTGCCTGACTTGTATAAAATAGATTCCTCCCTTTACGCATGACTTGACACCGCAACAGCATGTAGATATCTTGAAAGATTCGATAAAAAAATGAGCACATGTAGGGTTTAGGTGGGGGTTTACATGTGATTATCTTCGGATAACATCCTTAATCCCAATATAATTCAATTGTTGGCCTATTTAAAATGAATGCAAAGATAATTAGTACAATGATATACTTTGCATCTACTGTTGTACGCTCCGGCCTTCTTCAGGTGATTGGAATTTCGAACCGAACCCTTCATTTCGTCCACCAGTGTAGATTGTTCTAGTTCTACGTGCTATGCCTCTCCCGGATATCTCAGTTATTTCCTTTTAACTCAACTCTCCAAGTTTTGTTTGAACTCACAAGTCTTTGGATCTAAACAACCCCTTTATCCATTGGCCATGTGTCTTTGAGGACATCTGTGTATGAAGTATTGAGACTCATAAACTTAATATCTCATCACAATTTTTACCAGTGCTCATATTGCAAATTTTGTTATTATTATAGGATTTTTTACCAGAGCTTATATTGCAGTTTTTGTTGTTAATCATTGTTTTTCTCTAGCAGTCTTATTACTGGTTCCCATATTTTATTCATTTCTATGCTTGGCCGGTTCAGGAGATTTTTGAGACCTAACATATGTGCTGATTCCTTAAGTTTTCGTATTTTCCAGTGATGTTCTCTGTCTATTATTTCCACCTCATCCCACAGGTGGTGGTGATCTTCCTTTTCCATCCATATGTAGTCAACCACGCCTGATTTTTCTATTTCCTCTCGTGTTAACGCTTTACGATGTTATTGCAGTATTACCTTAATGATCTGCCCAAAAATATACTCCGATCATTTTTAATATTTGAACTGATGATACAACAGTATATGGGTACACCTCCAAAAACTCTAGATGGCCAGAGATTGGAAGCTGATCTCTTCTCTGACTTAGCTCTATCAGCTCAGTGGCGAGAAAACTAGGTTGTCACATTCAATGACTCGCAAACCAATCCAGAGACGTTCGTCCATCATTGAGCAGACAGATTCATCGATCACCTTGAACGTATGTTCTTTAGAGGAGGCCCCGTGCCTTGAGCGCCTCTTGAGACCTAAACTAAAATCCAGACCTCAAGTGGAACTCGTACATACAATCCATCGCTAAAGATGCTGGATAAATGGTCTGTTACCTGTACCATTCTAGTAAATGCCTGCTGTCTTTATAAGAGCTAGTTCAAGCCGAAAATGGAGTACTGTTAGAGCTGCCCAGTCTTTACTTTCCAGTCTCGATAAAGTCCAAAAGGGTCTCCGCGTCCTTGTGGGTGATTATTTTCCACCCTACCACCCCTTTCTCAGAGACGGGAAGTAGCAAGCCTCATACTGCTCTATCGCTATATCCATGGAAAATGTTCAGACGAACCACATTCCTAATCTCCACCAGTCCTAATCTTAACGGATAAGAGCCGCGATAACGCGCACATTGTAGCAAACCACCCTCATACGAATTGAAGATGTCAAAATTATACAAGTACATAAGTTTAAATATCTGGGAAGTTTTTTAACAGACTATGGAGAATATGACACCGAAATCCGAACACGCATTGGAATAGCAGAAAATGTCTTCCAGTAACTAATCAATATGTTAAGACATCGTTAAAGATGCTCGAAATTGATCATTGTCAGACCTCTGAACTGCACAAGTAAGTACCTGACTCCTCCTGCTGTTCTCTACCTTTGCAAAAACCAGATCAGACCGAAAATGGAGCACTGAAAATCTAACAACTGTTATTTTTCAGTAACTGTATAAAATTCTTGAAGGATAATCTTTTACATATGAATACTTATTACTCAAAAACGGCAAGTTGATTCAATTTAGTCTTGTGAGTCTGTGGACTCCTGGTTGGAAATTGTCTTTCATGAAGTCTACGATACCCTGGTTGAAAATCTTCCTTCCTTCCTTTCTTTCTTTCTTTCTTTCTTTCTTCCATCCTTCCTTTCTTTCTTTCTTCCTTCCTTCCTTTCTTTCTTCTTCCATCCATCCTTCCTTCGTTCATTTCTTCGTTCCTTCCTTCCATTCTTTCTTCCACCCTTCCTTCCTTCCTTCCTTCCTTCGGTTCCATGCGTGATGCAAGCTTGAGCGATGATATTTCTTTACGATATATGATTGGCTTGGCTGAAGAATTCCTGCCGTTAAATTCTGTGATAGACCGGTTGGCAACCAAGGCTATAGGACTCCGTCTGTTCTCCTATTTAACCAAAATAAAAGGAGAAACTGTGGATTAACGCCTTTTCCCAAGACAATTTGCGCGTAGCGGGCTCTAAAGGAATTCGAACTCGGTTCTACGATTTCTCTTTCCAAGCTGTTAACTATCACACTAGCTGCACATCTAATCTAGTATTCCCAAGTGGTCACCCATCTAAATACTGACCAGGCTCAAAGTTGCTTAACTTCGATGATCGGACGAGAACAAATATTCTTTTTTACGTTGGCATAAACATGGAACCAAAAATTCTTGTTGTACATTTTATTTTCACTTTTACTTTTAAATCAATTTGCTCATTTTGTTTTAAACTGGTACTTCTATACGATGGGATAAGGCGGAGTACATTGATACAAGAGGTAGGTTGATGCCAAGGACATATTTCAGAAACAAAAGCCTCTATTTGTTTCCAATTGACACAAACGCAAGCGTATTTAAGATTCGCGTTTCACTCTTGTATACAAGACAGAAGCTCAGCGAATCAAGGAAGTTTGAGCCAAATGTGTAAAACATCAGTTATTTTGCCGCGGAAAGTAAAAAATATTTTTGTTCTAATATTTTTTTTAAATCTAATTATTTTGCAAATACGTTTATGCCCTCGTAATATAATAAAGTAGTATCATCATTCCAGCGAGTACCAGATACATCATACAATCCTATAAATTTATAAGACCCTAATTAGACCGAAAATGGAGTGTTTGAAAAATGGTCAGTCCACTGTACGGCTCCAGTAACTAGCTGAAACTTATGCTGTTCTTTACATTTGCAAGTGCCAGATCAGGCCATAAATGGAGTACTGATGGAAGTTGCTGGAAAATGGTCAGTCCCCTGCACTGCTCCAGTAACTACCTGATTCTTCGTGGGGTTCTTTGCCTTTGCAAAGACCAGATCAGGCTGAAAATGAAGTACGGCAGGACCTAAACATGCTCGAAAAATGGACAGTACCCTGTACTGATCCAGTAACTACCTGATTCATCCTGCTGATCTTTGCCTTGGCAAAAACCAGATCAGGCTGAAATGAAGTACGACTGGACATAAAGATGCTCGAAAAACTATCAGTCCCCTGCACTGATCCAGTAAGTACCTGATTCCTCCTCGTATTCTTTGCCTTTGCAAAGACCAGATCAGGCTGAAAATGAAGTACGGCTGGACCTAAAGATGCTCGAAAAATGGTCAATCCCCTGTAGTGATCCAGTAAGTACCTGATTCATCCTGCTGTTTTTTGCCTTGGCAAAAACCAGGTCAGGCTGAAAATGAAGTACGGCTGGACCTAAAGATGCTCGAAAAATGGTCAGTCCCCTGTACTGATCCAGTAAGTACCTGATTCATCCTGTTGTTCTTTGCCTTGGCAAAAACCATATCAGGCTAAAAATGAAGTACGGCGGGACATAAAGATGCACGAAAAACGGTCAGTCCCCAGTACTGATCCAGTAAGTACCTGATTCATCCTGCTGTTCTTTGCCTTGGCAAAAACCAGATCAGGCTAAAAATGAAGTACGGCGGGACATAAAGATGCACGAAAAACGGTCAGTCCCCAGTACTGATCCAGTAAGTACCTGATTCTTCCCGCTGTTCTTTGCCTTTGCAAAGACGAGATCAGGCTGAAAATGAAGTACGGCTGGACCTAAAAATGCTCGAAAAATGGTCAGTCCCCTGTACTGATCCAGTAACTACCTGATTCATCCTGCTGATATTTGCCTTGGCAAAAATCAGATCAGGCTGAAAATAAAGTACGGCTGGACCTAAAGATGCTCGAAAAATGGTCAGTCCCCTGTACTGATCCATTAAGTACCTGATTCATCCTGCTGATCTTTTCCTTGGCAAAATCCAGATCAGGCTGAAATGAAGTACGGCTGGACCTAAAGATGCTCGAAAAATGGTCAGACACATGTACTGATCCAGTAAGTACCTGATTCATAGTGGTGTTCTTTGCCTTTGCAAAAACCAGATCAGGCTGAAAATGAAGTACGGCTGGACCTAAAGATGCTCGAAAAATGTTCATTCCCCCGCACTGATCCAGTAAGTACCTGATTCCTCCTCGTATTCTTTGCCTTTGCAAAGACCAGATCAGGCTGAAAATGAAGTACGGCTGGACCTAAAGATGCTCGAAAAATGGTCAATCCCCTGTAGTGATCCAGTAAGTACCTGATTCATCCTGCTGTTCTTTGCCTTGGCAAAAACCAGATCAGGCTGAAAATGAAGTACGGCTGGACCTAAAGATGCTCGAAAAATGGTCAGTCCCCTGTATTGATCCAGTAAGTACCTGATTCATCCTGCTGATCTTTTCCTTGCCAAACCAGATCAGGATGAAATGAAGTACGGCTGGACCTAAAGATGCTCGAAAAATGGTCAGACCCCGGTACTGATCCAGTAAGTACCTGATTCATAGTGGTGTTCTTTGCCTTTGCAAAAACCAGATCAGGCTGAAAACGAAGTACGGCTGGACCTAAAGATGCTCGAAAAATGATCAGTCCCCTCCACTAATCCTGTAAGTACATGATTCCTCCCGCTGTTCTTTGCGTTTGCAAAGACCAGATCAGGCTGAAAATGAAGTACGGCTGGACCTAAAGATGCTCGAAAAATGGTCAATGCCCTGTAGTGATCCAGTAAGTACCTGGTCCATCCTGCTGTTCTTTGCCTTGGCAAAAGCAGATCAAGCTGAAAATGAAGTACGGTTGGACATAAAGATGCTCGAAAAATGGTCAGTCCCCTGCATTGCTCCCTAAGTACCTGATTCCACCCGCCGTTCTTTGCCTTTGCAAAAACCAGATCAGGCTGAAAATAAAGTACGGCTGGACATAAAGATGCACGAAAAATGATCAGTCCCCTCCACTACTCCTGTAAGTACCTGATTCCTCCCGCAGTTCTTTGCCATTGCAAAGACCAGATCAGGCTGAAAATGAAGTACGGCTGGACATAAAAAGCTCGAAAAATGGTCAATCCCCTGTAGTGATCCAGTAAGTACCTGATTGATCCTGCTGTTCTTTGCCTTTGCAAAGACTAGATCAGGCTGAAAATGAAGTACGGCTAGACAAAAGATGCTCGAAAAATGGTCAGCCCACTGGACTGCTCCAGTAAGTACCTGATTCCTCCTCGTATTCTTTGCCTTTGCAAAGACCAGATCAGGCTGAAAATTATGTACAGCTGGACCTAACGATGCTCGAAATATAGTCAGTCTCTGCACTGCTCCAGTAATTACCTGATTCCTCCCTATGTTCTTTGCTTTTGCATAGACCAGATCAGGCTGAAAATGAAGTACGGCTGGACCTAAAGATGCTCGAAAAATGGTCAATCCCCTGTAGTGATCCAGTAAGTACCTGATTGATCCTGCTGTTCTTTGCCTTTGCAAAGACCAGATCAGGCTGAAAATGAAGTACGCTGGACCTAAAGATGCTCGAAAAATGGTCAGTCCCTAGTACTGATCCAGTAAGTACCTGATTCATCCTGCTGTTCTTTGCCTTGACAAAAACCAGTTCAGGCTGAAAATGAAGTACGGCTGGACATAAAGATGCACGAATAGCGGTCAGTCACCTGTACTGCACCTGTAAGTACCTGATTCCTTTCCCTGTTCTTTGCCTTTGCAAATATCAGATCAGGATGAAAATGAAGTACGGCTGGACATAAAGATCCTCGAAAAATGGTCAGCCCCTGTACTGATCCAGTAAGTACCTGATTCATCCTGCTGTTCTTTGCCTTGGCAAAAACCAGATCAGCCTGAAAATGAAGTACGGCAGGACATAAAGATGCACGAAAAATGGTCAGTCCCCTCCACTGCTCCTGTAAGTACCTGATTCCTCCCGCTGTTATTTACCTTTGCAAAGACCAGATTAGGCTGAAAATGAAGTACGGCTGTACATAGAGATGCTCGAAAAATGGTCAGCCCCTGTACTGTTCCAGTCAGTACCTGATTCATTCTGCTGTTCTTTGCCTTGGTAAAAACCAGATCAGGCTAAAAATGAAGTACGGCTGGACAAAAAGATGCTCGAAAAATAGTCAGTCCCCTGAACTGATTCAGTAAGTACCTTATTCCTCCCAATGTTCTTTGACTTTGCCAATACCAGATCAGGCTGAAAATGAAGTACGGCTGAACCTAAAGATGCTCGTAAAATGGTCAGTCCACTGTACTGATCCATTAAGTTCCTGATTCCTCCTTGTGCTCTTTGTCTTTGCAAAAACCAGATCAAGCTTAAAATGAATCCAGCTGGACATAAAGATGCTCGAAAAATAATCAGTCCCCTGCACTTATCCAGTAAGTACCTGATTGATCCTGCTGTTCTTTGCCTTTGCAAAGACTAGATCAGGCTGAAAATGAAGTACGGCTAGACAAAAGATGCTCGAAAAATGGTCAGCCCACTGGACTGCTCCAGTAAGTACCTGATTCCTCCTCGTATTCTTTGCCTTTGCAAAGACCAGATCAGGCTGAAAATTATGTACAGCTGGACCTAACGATGCTCGAAATATAGTCAGTCTCTGCACTGCTCCAGTAATTACCTGATTCCTCCCTATGTTCTTTGCTTTTGCATAGACCAGATCAGGCTGAAAATGAAGTACGGCTGGACCTAAAGATGCTCGATAAAATGGTCAGTCTCCTGCACTGCTCCAGTAATTACCTGATTCCTGCTGCAGTTATTTAAGTATTCAAGAGCGAGATTAGGCGGAATTGTGATTTAAATTGCTGGAGTTAAAGATGCTCGAAAAATGGTGTCCCCTGCTCAGTTCCAGCTCATTGCTCAACCTGCACTTCTTTATTTTTGCAAAAGCCAGATCAGGCTGAAAATGGAGTAGTGCTGGATCTAAAGATTCTTGAAAAATGGTCAGTCCCCTGTACTGCTCCAGTAAGTATCTGATTTCTCTTGCTGTCTTTTAAATTTCCAAGAACCAGATCAGGCCCAAAATAGAGTTCTGCTGGAGCTAAGGATGCTCGAAATATGGTCCGTCTCCTGTACTGCTCCAGAAAGTAACTGACGCCTTTTAGAGTAATTTACCTTTGCAAGAGGCAGTTCAAGCCTAAATTGTTGTACTGCTGGGACTAAAGGTGTGGAAAAATGGTGAATCCCATCTGCTCCAGTAAGTACTTGTATCCTCCTTTACCCTTGCAAGAGCCAAATCAGACCGAAGTACTGCTGGAGCTAAGGATGATCGAAAATTCTCAGTCCCCTGTACTACACCAGTAATTACCTGACTCCTTAACTTTTCAAGAGCCAGATAAAGCCGAAAATTGAGTACTGCTGGAGCTAAAGATGCTCGAAAAATGGTCAGTCTCCTGTACTGCTCCAGTTATTAACTGGCTCCTCCTGCAGTTAGTTAAGTATTCAAGAGCGAGATTAGGCCGAATTAGAAGTACTTCTGCTCGAAAAACGGTTGGTCCCCTGTAGTGCACAGGTTAGTACCTGACACCCACTGCTCTTCTTTACATTTGAAGAGCTAAATCAGGCCGAATTGGGAGTACTGCTGGAGGTAATGATGCTTGAAAAATGGTCAGTCCCCTCTACTTCTCCAGTATGTACCTAACTCTTCCTGCTATTCTTTACTTTTCGAGTGCCAGATCAGGCCAAAAATTCAATACTGCTGTATCTAAAGATGCTCGAAATATGGTTAGACCCCTGTACAGCTCCAGTAAGTAACGAACTCCTCCTGCAGTTACATAAGATTCCAAGAGCCAGATCAAGCTGAAAATGGAGTACTGCTGGAGCTAATGTTGTTCGAAAAAATGGTCAGTTCCCTGTACTGCTCTAGTAAGTAACTCAGTCCTCCTGCTGTCATTTACTTTTCAAAGTCCAAGTCAGGCCGAGGGAGTACTGCTAGGGCTAATTTTGCTCGAAAAAATAGTCAGTTCCCTGTACTGTTCTAGTAAGTAACTGACTCGTGCTCTTTACTTTTGCATGCGACAAATCAGGCCGAAAATAGTGTATTGTTGCTATGTTTGTGCGAGTATTGCTCAGTCTCGTCTTTCGTCTTGACATAGTACAAAAGCATCTCCGATTCCTTACTGGGGAAGAAGAATTATTTTCCACCCTCCAACCTCTCTCCCTTTCTACAGAAGGAAGTTGAGGATATCTTGTCCGTATATATGAGCAACGACGAAGTCTTAAAGAAAATGGAAAGAAAAAGGATCTTATACTTAACACCAGAAAGAGACAGTTGAGGATCATGGGTAAAGAGGGCTTGGAAAAATCTGATACCCACAGGGCACATTGAAGGCAAGAGAGACAAAAAAAAACATAAAATACTTCATGATTTTTAAATAAATGGATGGCGAAAGAGTGTTTATGAGAAATAAGAGAATGTCAAAATTTATTAAGAGCTACGAGATAAAAGAAGTCGTGGAGAGCTATTATCGCCTACGTCGTTAAGTGACAAAGCACATAAAGGAGAAAACAAAACTGATTTTATTTAATCACCACGGAGAATCTTTTCTGCCTGGCATCAGTGGGGCAGATGCTAAACTCCAGGAGAGCATCATACTACGACGTCTTGTTCCTCACGTTTTCCACTGACATGAGCGAGTATATCGAATCAATTGCTTCGTCTACTGCAAGGAAAGTTGACTCACTGTGTCGTGGAAGAAAATTTTTCTCGTCCGAATCCATCTTGCAAATTTATAATCTACCATTCGTCCGTGCATTTAATACTGTTACCATTTTCTGGTCTGGTACTCCTGCTGTACATCTTAAGAAAATCCAAAGAGTTTGTAATGTAATCGATCCCAACCAGGCATCTCGACTTCAGACATTTTCTCACCGACATGACGTGGATTTCCTCTGTCATTTCTATAACTATTTTCATGGCAATTGCCCTGATGACCCCGGCTCCCCGACTACATGAATTTAAGCGTGCTATCAGTTTCGCAACTCGGTGCCACCGTTTTACTGTTGAAATAGCCAGTCACTTCTACATTAACAGTTTCTTTTCTCGCACTTCTCCTCTGTGGAACTCCCTTCTAATTTCTTTACCTCTGATAACTACAATTTTCAAAAATTTAAATGCAACTTCAACCGTTATATTCTGTTTTCATGAAACCGGTTCCTTTTTTGGCCTTTCCGAAATCCTGAAAATTTGGAAACGGCAGGTTGTACCGCTTGGCATTCGTACCGGAACCACCAATAGGACCGTAATAAAGTGTTTGGGTGCCAATTTGAGGACGGTGCAGAGGATTCGGAGAGTTAGATGAGTCTAATGGTGATTACGAAGGTACGGAAGCTCGGAAAACTCACTCTGATAAGAAAAGTACTCCAGAATTTGTTGATGAGGGCGACCACATCACCTCTTAAATCTGCAGACTGCAACACCCTGGATTATTATGTTGAGCGAAAGTTCAACAAAACACATTGTAACACAAAAGATTAACTGAAGGCAAGGATTATGGTAGCATTCACTAACTCAAACAAGGAGACCTTCCAGAAGAGTTGTAAGAGATTCCGAAGTCGTCTGGAGGCTGTGGTTGAAGCCAATGGTAATTTTATTGAATAAATTTACTCTGTAGTATTTCAAGATATTTTTGTGTAATATTGGTAAATATATCTGTTAAAATGAGATGTCAGTGTTATTTTCGTTTTTGCGTAATTTAGACGAGAATTTATCCATCGCACCCTGTATATACAAATTAGAGAAACGTCATGATAGATCTTTTCATCTTTAACAACAACTTGAGATTTTTGTTGTTAAAAGTTGAATAGTTTTAACACATTCAACATTATGAATAAAAAAATAAAAATTTATAGTGTTTAGCAAAACAAGTTCAAATACTTGAACAAAAAAACAACCCATAATTGCGTCAAAAAACGCGAAAATGTTTTAATAGTTGAGCTTAATGTAATTTATAACATCCACGTATATAAATGTAGGTAAAAATGAACTAGATGTTGATAAGATAGCGAGGGTCACAATGCATTGCCCGGAGGCCCCCAATTAAACTTCACTCCGGTCGAGAAGTTCAGGGTGATACACACCATCCCTGCTAAATTAAAAATAGCATTTAAGCCCCCTTTTTGCGTTATTAATTCTTTGCATTAATTTGTTTAGTGCTGAATGAACATGTTTCTCCGGGTGCATCAATGTGCCCCACGGGTGGGGCAGTTTGATGCATTTGACATAATGTCACAAAGGTATAATTTTATGAAAATATATATATATATATATATATATATATATATATATGCATAAGATAAAACACAAGGCAAAACAGCCGATTTTGTTCTCAGCACTTCTTTGGAAAGAGAGAAAAATCAATGAATGAAGCAGACGATCTTTTCATAGATAAGGACATATAACTGAAAATAAGAAATTCACAGATTATAAAATGTTTATTTTAACAGAAAATTATAATTCCATACATATTGTTCCATATGACAATATTTCAGCAAGAAAACAGAATATTAAACAAAAAGGTTTTTACTACTTACATAATTATTTGTTGTCCATCTAAATTAAGGTTTAACATTCATTAAACAGACAACTCAAACCTTTTTTTTCTTTGATCCCCCCCACTTTTTGTTACAAAAATCTTGTCATCTATTGGATGAGAGATAATTGCTTCGGATATATTTATCTTCTTTTATTCTTCAGAATTCTTTTCTCTTTTTTGAAGCTGAAAGGGAAAAAATATCAACACAACGCCTCACCTAGGAGAATAATGTTCCCATTTAAGATTATCTATTTTAACTACTTAAAAATCTAATTTTAAATTGAGAACAAGAATAGGACAGAACCCCTTGCATCGAAAGACTCTGGCAAAAAAACGTTAACTCTGCGATCCAACAACAGAAAAAATCAAAGGCAATAATTCCTCTTCTTGGGAATAAAATTACCTCTTCCAAATGTCTAATCTCTTTCTTAGACAAACTCTGATTAAATCTCTTGACTTAGAAGCCGCAAAGGTGCATTTGTTTTTCTTTAACATATAGCTACACTTATGTCAATGCCTCAATATAAGTCAAAATTAAAATATAACTTTTCCCAACTTATATCAAATAAATTTAATTTCGGAATTCTTCCGAAATTAAAAAATCTTCTTTCCAAAGTCACTCGACACGAAAAATCCACAATCTCCTCTTTTCATCTTCAAATAAAATTAGATAGACAGCAATTATAAATTATAATTATAATATTAAAGTCCATCTAAGAAAATAATTCGACTGTAAGTCGAACATACAAGGTAACGGTTATTTAACGTGGTAAACTAAAATAGATCCAGAAAACAAAACGTCTTTCTTAAGTGAGAATAATATTTTGACTGAGGATAATTTCCTCTAATTAAAAAGAAACCACTTCTCCAGCATCCAAATCCAAAAAAAAAAAAAAGAGCGGCAAAACAAAAAAACTATCGTCTGCTTTACCATCAGATGTGTGTCATTCAAAGTATCAATAAATTATACACATACATTTCACTACCAAAATTTTTTAAATTTCCTCAAATTTATCTCAATATATCAAATTTTTTCCAAATATAATTTCCAAAAGGTTCCGTTCATTCAGTGAGGTTGTCTAGCGTCAATTAGGGAAAAATACATCAACAAGTACTGCGTTACTCTCCTTGCGTACAAATTGAGTAAGGAACATTTCATTATATTAGAATTTTTTTGTTGCTATATTTCAAAAGATTTTCTTTTCTACTCGGTAATTTTAAAAGATTTTCTTACCTTTTTTGTTGAAGATTTTCTTTATCGCAAACAACCAATTTGGCCTTCCATTTACTAATTCTCCTTTCGTTATCAGACCCTCTTTCACAATATCCAACTCGGAAACAAATACAGTAGTGAAGGGTCCGATACTTATTTTAAAAATTCCTCCATAAATTTTTCGAAACTCCATAATTCGGATAAAAAATTCCTTGGCCCGAATTAGCTGAGGCAAATTTCCAATGATTGGGAATGTTTTTGGTCCTGGAGGTAAATTATAACGTCTTTTGTTAAATTCTATCAAAAAGCAGCGAACCAGGAACAGTACGACAACCCCGATGAACAAAGTGATCACGTTTTGATTTATTGTAGATGAATTTGTTGATGAAAATGTGGTGTCAGTCATGATTTAGTTGTAACAATTTTACTTTAACTATTTCTCGCTATGTTATCTAAGTTCAAAATGACTGATGCTACTGGTCACAAAAGTTACGTAAGTTAATATTATATAAGATAAGGTTATGTAAGTTAAAGGTACATAATTTAGTGATATGTAATATTAGTAGCTGATTGGTTCGAACTTAAAACACTTTGTTTATTCTTCACTCGTTTGTCTTTTTCTTTTTTTCTTTTTTTTTTTACTGTTCATCCGATCAGGTCTTGTTTTCTTTTTCTAACTTTTAACATTAATCAACTTTGAACATTAAAATAATTTCACCGTTTCGTTTCTCATTTTCGTTTCATTCATTTATTGCGAATTATTTTAATTTCGTTCAACCCACTAAACTATGTTGTGTTATTTTAGCCTCTTTACAAAATTTAAAGTTTCGTTCTCGTTTCATCTGAGTAAATATGGGTCACTGCCTGACTTTGTCTAAATTAGATTCTTCTCTTTACGCATGACTTGATCTAGATTTATTCATCCAAAATGGCATTGCAACAGGACGTAGGTATCTTGAAAGATTCGCTAAAAATTGAGCATATGTTGGGTTTAGGTGGGGTTTACAGGTGATTATCTTCGGATAACGTCCTTAATCCCAATATTCTCCAATTCTTGGCTTATTAAAAATGAATGCAAAGATAATTAGTACAAAGATATATTTTGTATTTACTTATAAAATTTTATACCTCTTAAAATAAAATATACACTATTCTAAGAGTTCATAAGTTATATCAGAATCTTATCGTATTGAACGTCTAATATATATATATATATATATATATATATATATATATATATAGAGAGAGAGAGAGAGAGAGATCTTGTAAATGTGGATGTATGTGTGTACGTAAGTATCTCGTTGATAGTAGTAATCCTTTCGATTCTCTGTAGGATTTTTAGGTGTCCTGATATTATAGGGCATTGAGGAATGGACGACATTATTTCATCGACTCCGTTTCCTTTGACTGGTTGTCTCTCGATGTTTCACACTTCACTGATACATAAATTTCACAATTATTTCTTGATTTCTGATTGTTTTCTTCACTTACATTTAGGAATCGCAGCATTTGGCCCCTTTTACGTATTTCTTTTTGTTTTTCATATCTTTTTGTTTGCATTTCTTTATGGCAAACCGTTTTCTAATTGTTTTTTAAATAGTGAAGTTTTTCTATCACTACACACACATTAACAATTATTCAGTTCCGTTATGTGCCATGTGTGATACATGCTTAGGCGATCATGTATCTTTCGATATCTTGACGAGGCAGATTTTTCCCGTAGTAGGTTGCCATTTCTTTCTGCGGTAGACCAGTTGCCACCCAAGGCTACAGTAACCGGTCTGTCCTGCTATTTACCCATAGCTGGGGGGTGGAGAAGAAGAGGATTCATTCCTTTCCCAAATGTATTAACATATCAACCACTCACTTATGTGCCATGTGTGATATATGCTTAGGCGATCATATATCTTTCGATATCTTTATGAGGCAGATTTTTCTCACAGTAGGTTGCCATTTCTTTTTGTGGTAGACCAATTGCCATCCAAGGCTGCAGAACCCGGTCTGTCCTGCTATTTACCTATAGCTGGGTGGGAGAGGAAGAATATTCACACCTTTCCCAAGGGTATTAGCATGTAAGTGAATGTAATGGATTCGACTGGAATTCGAACTCGGCTCTCTTAATTCCTCAATCCGAGCCGTTATCCATTATTTCACTTTAAATTAATTTTCTTTGTTTGAATCTATAACTTTTAATAGTAAAAGTATGTTTTAGTTTTTTTCCATTTACTCCTTCTTCCAGATTTGACCGTTTTATATTGTTGTTCAAGTTCATTAGTTCTGTCGTGTCCACTAAAATATGAAATACAATATTTATAAACCAATAAAACTCAAGAAAGTGCTTACATCTTAAAACACACCAATAAAACCGTAGAATACAAATCAGAAATGTTGTTTTATTAGTCATCATGATTTACGCCGATACCGCCAAAATATCGTGCGGACGTAGTAGAAGACATACCATGTGACTTTTTGGGGCCAATTAGGAAGAAATAAATGATTTAATTTTTGAGCCGATGTTCTTACGAAAAAGTGTATAAAACACGAAATCCGGCCCCAAATGGCATACGCACAGCTGTCATCAAGGTGCACGTCACTCTCACTGAAGATCTTCACGACCTCATTCACATCTTCATGCAAAAAGCGACAGCGCTAACGAACTACAAAGAGACCACTTCAGACTACAGCACCCCAGTTCACAGCAATAACCACATTCTATTTCTGGTATTCTCTTTATTATTAACCACACCCACAAGTGCTGACTCTTTCACACAAACACACATATAACAACAAACCATTGTTTCTCACATACGTACGCAAATACAATCTATATTCTACTCCATAACTTTATTAACCAAAACAAAAAGATATTACCTACTAATCTATAACCAACTTCTTGTATTCTTGTCGTGATATTAAATTAATGTTCATTTGTTGAAACTATGTGTTGTGGATTCCGGGATGAAATCCAGTCTCAAATGAATGACAAACGCAGGAATGAAATATAGCAAATAAATGTATTGACGTAAAAATACAATTTGTAATACGGTTAGTAGATCCAGAAATGCGGTTAGTAGCAATAATAATATATATACAGTCTGGTAAATTCAGTATCGAAGTAGGACTTCCTTCTGAGTCTACGTGCTCGCAACTGTGACTCCTACAAAGCGGTTACCTCACACTCTTACTCTCTCACACTTCCGGGTATTCACCGGCCGCAGTACAAGTGCATACTGGTCGAGTCCACTTGTATACAAAGGGGTGGACCCCTTAACACTATGTTTCTTTTTGTCTTCTACTGGATTTTATTCTTTCTATGAAAATCGTGGGATTATTTTAAACGGCTGAATTACGAACAGTCCTACAACGATATTTTATGTTATTGTATCGAATCCCGACACTAAGAATTTTGACATTCAACGAAAAACTGAGTAGAAGGATTCTTACAGTTCCTTTTGAATTCGAGAGTGTGTTATTACTTTCTGGTTGATATTCGACATAACTTCTGTCGATCTTAATTTCCAGAATTAATGCAAGTTTCAACCTGTCAACTGACACGGTATTATTCCCATAGTCGGAAAGTTTTAGAGTAAAATATTTTTGACTAAGATGTAATACTTCTATTGGACCGGTGGACGGAGCTTCCAGAGGTTTTCGTACTTTGTCTGTCCGTAACCACACATATTTACTAGTTTCTGACGACATAAGAATACGGTAAACATTGCCGAGAACCGTTAGATAGTTTGTCAGACTCAAGTTTCTACATCTCTTTAGCCAAATTCATAATTTGTGAATTTGTTATTTCAGTGACATCATTTTCTTTGTTTGTATCGAGTATCCCCCGGCACTTGTTCGGGATGAATCTTACTATGAAAAAAAATCTTTTAACTGAGTACACTTGCCAAAACTCTGTGAAGAATTTCGGTTTAATATCAAGCCTTTGAATATTTACTTAGGTGATGAGGGAGATTGATGGCAGAAAGAGGAAAAGAGAAAATTTTCGTTGACGTTACAGTGAAAAAACTTCTGTTAACAACGAAAATGAACATTGACAAGAAAATCTCAGATGATTTGAGGAAAGGGACAAAAGGATTTAAAGGTCAAAGGGGAAGGTGAAGAAAGCACTGGTCAGCAAGAGAAAAAATGGATCAAAGATTCTGAATCAGACGCAGATTAGTGAGACTGAATTTAGTGTAGTGCGTATGGAAACTCTCGCGGTTGGAAGGAGTGGATCCAATGTTCGGGTTGGGGAGACTGGAATCATGAGGAAAAGACTGACTTTGGTGAGACAAACTTTGATTTTATTTGTAAGTGGTTCAAGAAAACGAATGAGTAGATTCAGTTTAGTAGATATATATATTTACAAATTGGTATCGGTTACCAACTAGATATTTATGCAGATGACAGAATCATTTACTCATGTCTTAGTAGCAAATTTGACTAATCAAAGCAAACCTGGCAACTGCTCTTGAAAAGGACCTCCAATCAGTGGTTAATTGGGGCAAGAAATGACTTGTAAATTTGAATACCTATAAAACAAAACTGTTTTTGACGAGAAATAGCAGGACGAGTACCAGTTTTTTATAGATTATGCAAAGGCGTTCGATAAAGTATGCCACAAAGATCTATTGGTGATTATGAAGGTAGGGCAGCTCAGAAAACTCACTCTGATCCTTTTGATAATAATTTGTTGGTGAGATCAGGGCCATGACTGAAAACAATTCATCCAAGTAAATCAGGTCCATAATCAGGGAGGTAGTGCTTCCCTGAGTCAAGAGTGTGGCTGGTGAAGACCCTATGTCTGACAACAGGACTCTGCACCATGCCGCACAAGCTGGAGAACCCAGCAGTGGCTGTCAGACAATTTCTACAACTACATCACCTCTTACATCTGGCCACTTTACTCTCCAGACTGCAATCTGCTTGATAATCATGTATGAAGTGCAGTCGAGCAAGACACCAATAAAACTCCTTGTAACACCAAAGATGAACTGAAGCCAATGATTATGGCAGCATTCACCAACAAGGAGACCAGCCAGAAGACTTGCAGGAAATTCTAAAGTCATCTTTATATTTCAAGATATTTTTGTGCAATTTTTATATATATATATATATATATATATATATATATATATATATATATATATATATATATATATATATATATATATATATATATAATCTGTTAAATGAGATGTCAGTGTTATTTTCATTTTTGCATAATTTACACAAGAATTTATCCACCGCAGCCTGTGTGTGCGTGTATATATATATTTCATTCATAAAATTAATATTCTATTAAGTCCTTACTATTATTAAAAAAAATTAATTATTCAAGTTCACATAAAAAGCCAAAACAGAATTAAAAAAATATTCAAATATGGCATATCGACAGTGATAGTATCATCAATAAGATGCTGGTGACAGAAGCATGAAGCAAAACAACCAGTGTGCCTTGACAAATTGTAGTGAGTAATCATCCATAATACCAAAAAAATTGCATTTGTTTTTGATGTGGACCCAAAGTTGGGACCACGGAAGGATAACACGGATTAGAGGCAAGAAAGATATATTAAACAAAATGGTTACAAAGATAGTGTAAGTGTAAGCGGAGCTTACAATGTGCTAGTGTCCAATATTGGTAGTCGTATGCGGCTGATACTACGGTATTAGAATACTCTCTCTCCTCCTCTTCTTCTTCTCTCTCTTAGAGTGTTATGTCGCATACTTTATATAGTCCAGAAAGTGTCCATATTGTAGGTATGTTATGGTCTCACAATAGTTTTCCTTGAAACTACTCTTGGTCTACTATTGAGAAACAGTTTTCAAAAAGGACCTTCAATCAGTGGTTAATTGGGGCAAGAAATGACTTGTAAATTTTAACGCCTCCAAGACGAAACTTCTTTTGTTGGAAAGAGCAATACAAACGCAGAAGTACATGTACTTGTGTTCTATAGATTGTGCAAAGATATTCAATAACGTACGTCATAAAGATCTATTGGAATTGCTCAGCAACCTTGATATATTTGGCAAAGATATAAGAATAACCAAGAACCTATTTCTGGTAGCAAACTGCCTGCATGCGGATAGAAAATGAGTTCAGTATATCTACAAAATTGTCAGCCGATAATGTTATCCTGATAAGGCATAACATGTTATTCTTATGGAGTTTAGCATCAGCAATGCTGATGGGAGACAGTAGGATTTTCTATGTGATTAATAGAGAGAAGTTTTGTTTTGGAGGCTTTAAAATTAACAGGTCATACCTTGCGCCAGTTAACAACAGACTAGAGGTCGTTTTTTAGATCAGCTGCCAATTTGACCTTATTGAACTGATCAGACGTACTATTGAGATAGTAAAAGGTTGTTCCATCAGCACAGATACGAAGTTGAGAACTGGTTTCGTGAGGTAGCTCATTGATGAAAAGAACACAGTATATTCAAGGATTGAGCCCTGAGGAACACCTGCAATAGTCTAAAATGATCTAGAGGAGTGGCCATCCAGGATAACTTTCATTTCCTGATTTGATAAGAAAGACTGAATCAGTTCAAAAATTCGTCTGGAAATACCATAATCTTACAACTTGTGAAGAAGACCGGTATGCGAAAACCTGTCAAATGCTTTCGAGATGTCCGAGGCAATTACCTGAGCTTCACCAAACTTATCTAGAGCTTGATAGACTCTTTCAGTAATAATTGTTAGTAAATCAGCGGGTGAACTAAAGAAGAGAAAGCCATATTGCTGGTTTGAAAGAAGATGTGCAATGTGAGATGCTTAACCAGTTCAGAGTTGATTAGATCCTCGAGTACTTTGACGAAAAGATGAATAGAATGTTAGTTCGTGGAATCAGAATGTAAAGACAGGAGCTACAGAAGAGGATTTAGTTTATCGTCTTACCCAAGATGGCAATGCCATATTGTTTATCTTAAAGAAAGACTGTGTGAAGCGAGATGCCCAACCAATACAGAGTTGATTAGAACTTCTAATACTTTGCCAAAAAGAGGTAGAAGGTTAATAGACCGATAGGTCAAAGGGTCAGACAGTTCAGCTGAGTTTTTAAAGACTGGAACAATAGAGGAGTATTTTGGTTATATTTTGAAATAGCCGCCACATTTTGTTTTCATTTTAAATATTTTTAAGTATTTCATATTATTTTAGATAAGGGAATATGAATGGATTGCCAATGAATAATTGGCAATAAATTCTAGTTGGGAATATTGTATCACCCTTATTAACTCAAATAATAAATGATAGATTTATTGACTTGATTTAACATTTGATAGGTTTGCCTATTGTCTGGTTCACACCCCTCCCTGTTTTTTTTAAACAAGAATAGGTTTATTCCTTGTTTCCTTTTTAGGATTGAGTTTCCGGTTGCTTCTAAAGTCTTCTTCAGCTCTATAGTCTTAATGCTGGTTCTTTCCAACACTAATGTAACTCCACACACTGACCTTATACCTTGAGGGGCTCTTGGGTCTTGTATTGGATAAATATTAGTAAAAAAAGATTCCAAATTGTATCACATTTTAAATAAGGCAGTATGAATGAACTAACAATGGCTGTGACTGGCAATAAAGATCACAATGATATCCATACAAAAATATTTATTCATGTAAGAAAAAATACAAAGTTTTAATCAACAAAGAAATATATGATTGAATCTACATCTACATTTGTAAGAAAATGGTTAGTAAGTTAGGTAAATAGGCATATATTGACACCAACTCTCATTTAATAGATTGTTTTCATCTCCACGACGAGAACATTTTATAATAGAACCACAGGACTGAAAGTTACAGTCACATTTTAGTAAGGTTGACCACAGAAGACAAAAAAAATTATCTAAAAAAAATTAACTACTTTTAGTAACACTACAAACCACTACGAAACCAAAACAAAACATTAACCTAAAACTTCTTGTCATGTTCTTAAATAGATCAAGACTTTCATATGGATGTCATGCATAGCACTAAACTCATACAGGAATATCTAAAGTGTTAGCTCTATACAACCGCTTTCTCAGATCAATGGTTCAAATAGCTTTGAGCGAATGAAACCTGTAGGTCTTAGCGGGGACCATCCTTCTTGGAAACTTAATGTCTGTTATTATAGAATCACAGAAACGACATCACTTGAGGACATTCAGCATCAGCTACAACTAAAGTGGATAGCACATGTAACTCAAAGAGAAAATAACGACATACTAAAATTGTCGACATTTCACACTAATTCAAATAAAAGGCTAGGAAGGAAACGACCATCATTAATAAAAATTTATGTTATTTACAGTTACTGGACTTGAGAGACATTTTCCTAAAAAATTGCCTTAACAGAAAGATTTTATAAATTTTAACCGAAAATAGCACCGGCTGTTTGGTTTCTTTAAAAGGAAACAGTTGATATTACCATTCAACATGAGGAGAACAGATACTACACATTGATTCTAACCCAAGGAGTGAAGAAAAGCATAACTTATTATTGGATGTTCAGTGAATGAATACTGAATGTTTCTTCATAAGGAAATGACTAATATTGTCATTACTATTAGAGATTAGGAGAACAGATACTACCCATTGATTCTAACCCAATGGTCAAGGAGTGAAGAAAAGCGTAACTTGAATAGCATTGGCTGTTTGGTCAATGAATACTGAACGTTTCTTCATAAGGAAATGACTAATATTGCCATTACCATTAGAGTTGGGGAGAACAGATACTACACTTTGATCTCAGTCTAATGACCAGGGAATGAAGAAAAGTGTAGCTAGAGTAGCACTATCTGCTCGGTCAATGAATACCAAGTGTTTCCTTGTAAGGAAAAGGCTAATATTACTTTTATGGCAGACATTACTGAGTTAATAGTTAAATTTTTAAAATGGCCTTGTATTCATCTCTGATAAAAGATTGAGCTAAGATTGTATATTCTGTGCTTTGCTTTAATTTACCTGTAAGTGGGTAGTAGATAGGTCTTTGCTCTTTAAAGGCTTTAGAAGAATGTCAAAAAGGCCTTAACATTAATAAATATGTTTGACAAGAATAAAGAAAATGAGATTTTAATCTAAATCCACCTTAAATTTGAAGAGGTTTAAAAAGAAGGGGAGATAACTCGTTGATACAAACTGAAAAGTGATGAGATTGATTGAAAAACACTGAATCAAATTAATAAACGTAAAAAGTAAATTATTTGTTACATTGAAACTGTTACCGCGAATCTTCGAAGGTTTTACCCATAATTTAAAAATTTTTATTTTATGTAAAATTTTTATTCAAATAGGAAGAGGTGTGACATAAATTTACTGAAAATGCAAAAAGTGAATCATGAAAGAAAATACTTCCTTGGATATTATCTGAATATAAATCATAATCTAGTCACCAAAAATTAATATGGTTATTTTATATTCAACAATCAAAAGCCTACAAAGACTTGGTGCAAATCAGTGTTTTGATTGGTTGATAAGTGACTCCAGTCACCTGTGCTGAAAGTGAGACTGGTTCATCAGGTGGATTAATAAATTCAAAACGCTGCAGCAAATTGGTGAAAAACAGGAACATTTCCATTCTAGCCAACGGTTCTCCAAGACAGCTGCGAGGACCTGCAGGTCAGAAAAAAAAAAAACGAAGTGAATAAATTTTATGAAACGCCGTGATGAATTCAATATTTGATTTAGAATTACTGTGAAGAATAAACCAAGTAAAAAAGAAATTGTGATAAAAAACAAATCCTTATGCAAAAAGCAAATATGTTATCACCAAATCTCCAGATATTATCATCGTTAACAAATTTATAAAAATTATAAAAGGAAAAGCCTGGAGGATTTTTTTAAAACTGGAGAACCCGCCAAAATTGCGAAGAATCCAAAGGGAAGAAGGAAATTCAGACACTTTGCCGGTTCAGACAGGATGTCACTCCAACAACGAAGACTACAGCAACAAAACTAATACAGATGCTTATTTCTCGACACTCTGCCAAGTTGAAAGAAATGCTATTTTGAACATAGGATAAACGGCTTCTACTAAACTTTGAATTATTCCCCTTTTGACGCATTTCAATATTTTTTCTCTTGTGGCTTTACCTTAATAAAAAGAGGAAAAAACTTCATGAGGACTTAATATGACAACCAGCTTTTAATAAACCTTGAATGTTTTCACCTTTGATTCACCTTAGCAATTGCAGCCAGCCAACAGTAGCGATATGTGATAAACTGTCCTTTTCAGGACAACACTTTTCTAAACCTCTACATGAAGATGATATTTTAGTGCACTGTAACCTTATTTTTGTCAATGTATTTTCTTTAATGGAAATAAACTTGGCAATATATATATTTTTTTACTCTAGTTTTTTGTTTTTAACAATCTGATGAAACATAGTCTTCTTTAAAGGATTCATTCATTTGAAAGTATTTATATTTTGTGATCTGCGAAAATAGTCGTTTTAATTAAGAGTTTACACCCTTGTGCAAATTAATTGAAGTAAAATGAATTAGTATGTTATTATTTACTTTTTTTCTTATTATTCCAATGAAACATGACCCAGTGCACATGTTAGTACTTTGTATGTCGATTCTACAAAGTTGTTTCTTGCAGACTGACCAGAATTTCTCGATTGGATTTAAATCTGGAGAGTTTCCGAGCTAGTTTGTAGTACTTTATGTAAACAGAATGAGATAGATAGATAGATAGATAGATAGATATGAACAGAATGAGACACACAAATTAACTGAAACAATATGAATAATTCCATTATTATTTACGTTTTTTTTGTATTTTTCCAATGAAAAATAACCCATGTTAGTACTTTGTATGGCCATACCACGAAGTTTGTTTGACCAATTGCAGATTGACCACCAGTTCTCAATTGGATTTAACTCAGTCTATAGTACTTTGATTTGCTTATTAGTAAGGCTTGCCAGTGTGTTACAATTTTAGCACGCTTTCTTGGAGTGACTACCATCATAGACAATAGCCGTAGGACAAATAATCGACAATTGAGACAATAGTATCTGGACGTGATGAAAATCTGATGCAATCACAGATGACGCAATATTTTTCAAGGCCAATCAAATTTCATCATACACCCCAAAAATACATTCATATTACTGCACACTAATGACCTAATCTGAGGAAAAAATAATAATCGATTACACCCTGTCACTCCACTGGGCCTGAAACTGATTGCATGGTGAAAGAAAAGAAACTAAAGCTGTTGTTTCAATTAATTTATACAAGGGTGTATTTATTTCTGAATGAGTTTGATTTCATGTGAGTCTGGTTCTGATGAGGCTCTTTTAATCTTGTAACATCCTACAGTGTCGTACATAACTCCCTAGCTCTCTTATGCTATGTCAAATTTCATTATCTCCTATAGTATACAATTTATAAGTAAACCATTTATATTTTGGGGGGTTACTTCCAGTTTTTTCAAAAGTCAACTAATGTCTCTGCCTAAACTCTGTAATTTTATTTATTTTTTTATTTTTCTTCTTAATAGGAGTCGATAGGTTCGCCTATTGTCCGGTTCACATTCCTCATCAGTATTTCGAACAGGAGTAATTGTTTTCTTTTTAGGATTGAGTTTCCGATTCATTCTAAAGTCTTCTCCTTGTCTTTCACTCTCAATAGTCCCTTACGTTTTAAGGGTATTATTTTTTGTTTGTTTGTTTGTTTAGCGGCATATCAACATCTCTATGGGTCATTTAATGCTCAAATTTAATTTTCTTGGGAGCATTAATAATTTCTTTTACAAAAATATAATGCTGGTAATTTTTTTTACAAAAATGTATTGCTGGTAATATTTTCTTTTTTTTTTTACAAAAATGTATTACTGGAAAGGCGAGGAGGAGGCACAGTGGAGTAATGGTTAGCAGCTCGGATTGAGAAATCAGGGAGCAGAGTTCGAATTCCAGTTGAATCCATTACATTCACTAACGTGCTAATAGCCTTGGGAAAGGTATGAATCCTCATCTTCTCCCTCCCAGCTATAGGTAAATAGCAGGACAGACTGAGTTCTATAGGCTTGGATGGCAACTTGTCTACCGCAGAGAGAAATGGCAACCTACTGCGGGAAAAAAATCTGCCTCGTCAGGCATGCATCGAAAGATACATGACCGCCTAATCGTGTATCACGCATGCCACTCATTACTGGAAATTTTTTTACTATGAAAATGTATTGCTGGTATTTTTACTGTAAAAATGTATTTTTATACTTTCATAGTGTTTTGACCCCATTTTAGGGGTTACTATTTGCCCATATTTGGGACCCTAACAGGTGCTATCACTTAAGGTCAGGGTGGATCTGGGAATAACAGCAATTAAGAGGTAGTTTCTTACGGACTTTAATGCTTTGATTGGTGTAACTGATTAAAAAAATTTCGGTTCCAAATCTACATTTGTTCTTGATTTCATGTCAAATTTGTTATAACGCCATTTGCAATTCACGAAAAAAAATGTTTGCCACAGAAAATGGATTTATTTTAGAAAAAAAGGACCCTAACTGAAACAAAATTATTTAAAAGTTAACTGGCCCTTTGAGTAAGTAAGTGAATCATAAACAGAAAAAAATACAAAATGACTCCTACCCCATGAAAATGGCAGAAAAGCCTCATGCTTTATAATTTTCTTGTCTTTTGTCAACCATCGTTCCGGAAGAAACTTCTCAGGATTGTCCCAGTACCTTGGATCATTGTGAAGAGCATTGACATTAAACATAAGAATTGTGCCTTTGAGTACATCAAAATCTCCAAGGGTAATGTCTTCCTCTGCCACATGGGGGGCAACAAAGACAGCTGAAAATGAAGTAAAAAAATGAGTGAGAAAAGTAACTTGAAACAACAATATTTGATGTCATACCTCGCCGAGAGTGAGAGATTTAAATTGATATTAACTCAAGTACTAGGGATCTATTCCCCCAAGCAGGAATGCTAAGGCTAAGGCCATGATGGTCAGCAACTGGTCAGAATACCTTGTAGGCACAGTATTCTGACAGCGATAGAATGCCTTTGTCTGGGTTTTAGATATTAGTCCTCAAACGATGAGAATTCAGCATAGTGCAACAAGAATTTTGAAGCATTAATAATCGTTCCACGCCCAGTTTTAAGAAACTGATTAAAGCAACACATAGAGAGACGCTAAGCTAATGAGTGACAGGCGTTCCTTTGAAATCCTTCCTCCGGCTGCCTCTTAGAATCCAAGTTGCCACGCCTGTTCCCTTCCTCTAATAAAAATCGTCTTTTCGTTAAGACCATCTAAGCAGTAGAGTTGGGGTCCAGTGACAACAGAGTAAAACACATTCCTTTTACAGAATGTGCCGAGGGCGCTTGAGCAATTTTTGAACGTTTTCCAAAATACGACACTAAACTTGACCTTGAGTTACATTCTGTTATGATGGATAAATATCTGCAAGATACATGTATCTCAAATAATATCCTATAGCATTTATCAGATTATACCAATATTATTTATAAATGATTATTCGCCTTTTGTTCCTTATTGCTTATGGTAAAGCTAATACGTTGATCATTGAAAATTGCTCGCTAATTGCAGTCGAGAATATGGAAAAATACTGAGTTTTTGGTAATAATTAATCCATAAAAGCATTTCATATTTGTTGATATGTCCCAGAAAGGGATATATTTGATCGAAATAGCTTAGTGGGTTTGGCGGCTGTAACCAAGTAGTACACGGTAGCAATAATCGACTGGTACTCGTCGTAGTCGCAGGTAATAAGTGTAGACCAATAGGATAGCCAATGGCGTAGTTCAATGGGGGTCGTCATAGACTTAAACTCTGTCGTACCTACACGTCCGTCTGTATTTATGACGGACACCAGCCAATCATATTCCAGTGAGGGGGAACTCAGGTGTATGCATATTCCATTATATCATTTGTATATAGTAAAATATGCTGAGAATACCATAAACTGAACATGTGAGCAATGACGAAGTTTTAGAGAAAATGGAAAGAAAAATGACATACTTAACAGAAAAAGACAGCTGAAATTTTTACGGCACATAATGGCGAAAGAGGGCTTGGAAATTTTGACATTCACAGGTTATATTGAAGGTAAGAGGGACAGAATGAAACAGTGAATAATTTACCAAACAATATTGTATAAATGCAATGGTCGAACAGGGTTTAGGAGAGATAGCAAAAAGACAAAATTTACTGAGAGCTACAAAGGATAAGAAATTGTGGAGGGCGATGATTACCAAATTCCTGAAAGTAAAGCAAGGGAAACCTTCGAGATAATTTGATCGATGTGCTAGGCCTGATGAAACAAGAAGTTGACTTTCTATGGCTTTAGATGTTCGAGTTGGAATGTCTCAATAACAACGAGACCTCACTCACTTGCCTGGTGATGTGAAATGCTTTGTAGGACAACAAAAAAGTTCTCTTCAGCGTGAATGGCAATTTTTGGTTGTAAAATATAAGCCCTTAAATGAAGATGATTCCATCATATATCAAAGGTGAATGTTTCTTCTACCGTGTGAGTCGTATTGCTCTGAGAGGTTTCTTACTCAACGCCCTGACACCATGCCATTATCTTCTGGGAAGTGTTTTAACAGAAAACGAAAAACACAAATCCGAAATAGCACATAAATAAAAAAGATGTCTTTGAAAATATAAAAAAAGTTGAGAAACAAGGTGATTATGTTAGAAATAATTAAAATAGTAGTGAAATGTTGCATAATATCAATCCTCCATTGTCATAGTGAATACTGAGCAATCTCCTCACAGTTGAAGAAGAGACTTGAGACAACAGATAATTTCGTTAGAAATAATTAAAATAGTTGTGAAATGTTACGTAATATCAATCCACGTATGTGACAGTGAATACTGGGCAATCTCCTCACAGATGAAGAAGAGATATGTGAAAACAGATAAGTTTTGAGACAACAGATAATTTCGTTAGAAATAAATAAAATAGTTGTGAAATGTTACGTAATATCAACAAACCTATTCGACTGTGAATACTGGACAATCTCCACACAGAGGATATAAATAGTAGTAAACTGTTATGTAAAATCTGTCCTCCTTTGTGACACTGAATACTAAGTAATCTCCTTTCAGGTGAAAAAGAGACTTGATACGACAGATAATTTCGTTAGAAATAAAATAAATATATTAATGAACTCTTACGTAATATCAATTCACCTATGTGACTGAATATTGGGCAATCTCCTCACAGATGAAGAAGAGACTTGAGACAACAGATAGTTTTATTAGAAATAAATAAACTATTTTTGAACTATTATGTAATATCAATCCTACTTTGTGACAATGCATATTAGGCAATCTCCTCGCCGAGGAAAAAAGAGTTTTGAGACAATAGATACTTTCATTAGAAGTAAATTAAATAGTAATGAACATTTACATAATATCAATCCTACTGTATGACAGTGAATACTGGGCAATATCCTCTCAAATGAAGAAAAGACTTGAAACAACAGATAATTTTATTAGAAATAATTAAAAGAGTAGTGAATTTTTACGTAAAATCTGTCCTCCTTTGTGACAATGAATACTGGGTAATCTCTTCTCAGATGAAACAGAGATTTGATACGACAAATAATTTCGTTAGAAATTTAGAAAATATTAATTAACTGTTACGTAATATCAATCCATGTATGTAACAGTGAATACTGGGCCATCTCCTCACCAAGGAAAAAAGAGTTTTGAGATAACAGATAGTTTATTATAAATAAATAAAATATTATTGAACTGTTACGTAATATCAATCCTATTTTGTTACAATGAATACTGGGTAATCTCCTCACAGATGAAAAAAAGTTTTGAGACAACAGATAATTTCGTTAGAAATAAATAAATTATTAATGAAATGTTACATAAAATCTGTCATCCTTTGTGGCACTGAATACTTGGTAATCTCTTCTCAAACGAAGAAGAGACTTGATTACGGCAAATAATTTCGTTAGAAATAAATAAAATAGTAGTGTAATTGTTACGTAATATCAATCCTCTTTTGTGACAGTGTATACTGGGCAATCTCCTCACAGATGAAGAAGAGATGTTAGACAACAGAAATGTGGTTCTACGGAAGGAAGTTAAGAATACCATTGACTGAACATGTGAATAATGACGAAGTTTTAGAGAAAATGGAAAGGCCCTTATACTTATTATATTCATCAAAAAGCGTTGATATTTCTATGGCATATAACGAAAAGAGAGGGCTTGGAAAATCTGACACTCACAGGACATCTTGAAGGTAAGAGGGACAGAATGAAACAGTGAATAATCTACTTAACAATATTGTGTAAATGGTTGCCAGAACAGGGTTTAGGAAATACAGCAAAACGAAGAGCTACAAATGACAGGAAATTGTGGAGAGCCATGATCGCCAATGTCCTGAAAGGACACGGCTCATAGAAGAAGAATAATTAACTTGGTTGAATGAATGGTGGAGCATGGTTTAGGAGAGATAAGAAATAGACAAAATTTATTAAGATCTACAATGGACAGAAAATTGTGGAGAGCAATGATTGCCAGCCTCCTGAATAGACATGGTACATAAAATGGTGAGATATTAGCCGTTTCCATACAGGAAACATTTGACATTCATTGACCAAAAAACTAGCATTACTGTCAGTTAAATTTTGTAAAATATTTCACATAAAACAGTTTTTCAGGAAAATCTTCTTTTATGTGGTACATCCCTTCAGTACATAAACGATCATCTCTCTCCACAACTTTCTGTATCATGTGGCTCTTAGCAGTTTTTCTCCCATTTGCTTAGGCACCCCATCACCTGTCCTGCTATGCATTCACACAAGCTTCTCATGTAAATGGCTTGCTGTCTTCCCCTATCTCCCTTGACTTCAATATCCTCTGTTTTCCAGGCCCACTTTCCAAGAGATTTCAGCTCTCTTTTCATGATTCTGAGTAGAAGTGTTCTTTCTGTTGTCATTTTATTTAAAACTTCCTTGTTGCTTAATCGCTTCAACAATGGAATTTTCAGTATCCTTCTGTAGAACCAAATGCGTTGATAAATCATGTTTCAAAGTAGTAAGTGAATTCCCGAGTGGTTCCAAGGAGAATTGAACCCAAACTTTACTAGACTGATCTCAGTAACATTGAGCAAAACCAAGACTACCTGTCCTTCACCCTTTCCTGCTGATGAGATAGAGATCATTAATGTATTCTCGAAGATGTAAAAAAAAAGCATATGTTGTCAATAAAGAAACCTGAGTGGTCACTTAAATAACATTTAAATATTGTTCTGAGCAAACAAAAAAAAACAGGAAAATCCACTGGTTTGAATTAATCAGCCAGAAGAAAAATGTCCCTACAAATATAGAGACGGGTCCTTTCATTTTAATTTCTGTAATATCCATCAAGAAAAATTTTATATCCAACATTAATTCGGATTTCTTTCTTTACAAGTAATAAAGAAAAATGAATTACTATTTTGGAGTGGCCATGAGCAAAAAGACTGTGTGCTCTTGCTGACTGAGAAAACAAATAAACAGAACTCATACTCACCAACTGAGGCAATCCTTTGTACTTCAAGAATTGTGGCATTGATAAATGGTAATTCTTCTCTATCTGCCATTGTGACCATTCGGCTAAAACCAGTCAGCTTTAAAATATAACAAAGATTAGCTTGTAATTGTAATTAATCTCCCAAATAATTTAAGATCAAGGTAAATCAAATGCATTACGTTGATTTTCTAAATTATGATTTTGTTTTTATTCTTACTGACTGACATCACAAAGTATGCCACTATGCTATTCTAAAATACAGGCTTGTTCAGTTCTTTGAGGACATTTGAATGATGTTTTAAAATCATTTCTAATTTTAAATTAAATCTTTTAAAACTTGTTCTTGTTAGAAGAAATATTCCTTTATAATTATTAAAGAAACCAAAAATAAACACTATTTACTTTATTCGGACTATTGTCCTCATCTTTGTCACCATATTTATTACAGCGTTTCAGCCCTTGTACGCCCCGGCCTTCTACAGGTGGTTGGAATGTCGAACTGAACCCTTTATTTCGCTCACTGGGGTAGACTGTTCTAGTTCCACGTGACATGTTTAATGGATGTCAATTGTCAGTTATCTCCTGTTAATTCCCCTCTCTAAATTCTCCACTGTCTTAAAGAGTATGAGTTCAATACCTGGTGCTAATATTGAAAGTACTCATAATAAAAAGAATATGTATCAATATGGTAATTTTCTTTCTTTCTTTAATAAGGATACTAAGAAACTTATCTATAATTACTAGAGAATCCTATTAGAAATAAGTACACAAAACTTGTGTAAATTATTTAATAAGACATGTTTTAATGAAAACATGCTGTCCAAATCAATGCAATTATATAAATTAACATACATTTTTCAGAAAACTGTAGGGTTGTTTGCATATCACATATTCTGCAGTTAAGAGGAAGTTTCTAGAAGAAAAAAAAAACTTGGTGTTCATCTTTTTCAAGATTGATTTTAAATTTGAAGTGACCAATGTTAATGTCTATTTTCTTACCTTTCGGATTTCCTCTCGACATTGATGTTGTATCTCTGGGTATTTTGTTAAGTACAAAAAAGCCCAGAGCAAAGATGTGGCTGTTGTTTCAGAACCAGCAGTAAATAGATCAACAATTGTTCGGAAGATATTCATCTCTAGAGAAAGAGACATAAAAATTATATTAAGAAAGTCTTTATTATATACATGTATTAAATATTTATCAATGTTCACATTGTTTTAAACATTCATTTAATATTTATTTATAATAATATAATATCAATAATAGCATCATCCAATTCATCAAATGTTTTTGTCCATCTGTCTGTAATTTCATAACTTTAAGATGGCTGAAGCTATGCCTAGCAAGTTTTCATGGTTACTAATGAAATCTTGGAGAATGTTTTTCTGCAAATTATTTTTTGAAAATTTCACAACTTTTAATATTTTCATGATTTACATTATTCGGACTATTGTCCTCATCTTTGTTGCCATATTTATTACAACGTTTCGGCCATTGTATGCTCCGGCCTTCTTCAGGTGGTTGGAATGTTGAACTGAACCCTTTATTTCACTCACAGGGGTAAACTGTTCTAGTTCCACGTGCTATGTTTAATGGACGTCAGTTATCAGTTATCGCTTGTTAATTTCTGAGATGAGGTATTATGTACATTATTTAAATTATTCGGACTATTGTCCTCATCTTTGTCGACATATTTATTTCAAAGTTTCAGCCCTTCAGTATCTGTCTATATTTCTGAGATGAGTATTATGTACATTATTTATATTATTCGGACTATTACCCTCATCTTTGTTGCCATATTTATTACAATGTTTCAGCCGTTGTACACTCCTGCCTTCTTCAGGTGGTTGGAATGTCGAACTGAACCCCTTATTTCGCTCACTGGGGTAGAATGTTGTAGTTCCACATGCCATGTTTAATGGATATCAGTTATCTCCTGTTAATTTTAATATTTTAACATAGGATTTTATTTAAATTGTAAGTATAATTGGACTCTTGCTTTGTGTTCCTCTGTTTAGCAAAATTGATTCAACATGCAGCGTCCTGGCAATTTGAATATTCTCTATTCATGCAGTATTTCAGAAATGCATAGTTATACAATATTTGATCTCAAAATAACTACAAATAACTGAAACTAAACTTAGAAACTTATCTAAACTACTATAGTCTTCTTCATGATCCTACTTTTCTCCTATTCAGCACATTGTAAAATATATAATAATAAAATCTTTCTTTAATTTTTAACAATCTTATTTACATTGCCACTGTTATTCATTATATCTACATCCACTCTTGTTCAATAAATAATTCCCAACTTTATCCCTTGTTTCATTTAAAAATGTGTGTTTGCTTAGTAAACCAATCAGAGAGGCATGAAAATATAATACAAACCTCTTTTAATTGGTGATCTGACTAAAGTCTACAAACTGTTATTCAACTTCTACAACTTAGTAGCATCACCTTTACTACATATATTTCTATTATTATTATCATTAGTAGTAGTAGTAGTATAGTAATAGTAGTGCTTCATATAAGTATATAATGAAATAAAAAGTATAAGAGTTATGTATATCTCAAACAGCCTTGCTGTGTGTCAGGAAGCTTCATCAGTGATATTTATCTTGGATATTATTGCAATCTTCAAGTCTATAAAAGCCTCAGATCACTCTCTCTCTCTATCAGGTGACTCAATCAGGAGTAATCACCTCTTGATCTTCTTTTAGGCCCTCTTCCAGTTGTATTAGCAAATTTTTGAGCATTTGTTCTGAGATTGTATAGATTTGATTATTTTGGAATTCAGAAGAGGAAGTCAAAAAATTAGATAAGGCAGAAAATGCAAAAAGTCGACCCACATAATTTGTATCACGGAATAGGAATGTCTCAGCATAAAGAAATTTTGTGCTTTGAATTGATTGATGTCATGGGGACTTTTTATGTTTTTCCTTTACAGAAAAGTTCAGTTTGAGTTTTTAGTTTCTATGAAATTCTTCTCTGTAAGTGGTCCAAATGAATTTCTCTCCTGGGACTTGAATCTGTTTTCAGGTTGAGATTTAGTTGTCAGCTCAACTTTCTTTCTCCGTAATGATTTATGTCAACTTCTGCCTTGAAGTGTGGGTGCTTTTCAACCTTTAAGTGTGCATGCTTTCTGTCTTGAAGTGTGGTTCAGTCTCCTTTTATACAGAATTAGGAGGTTCCCAAAGACTTTAATTCCAAAATTTACAAGAGGATGAGACCACATCTCTGATAGGTCAGTAAATACAATAATATATTATTTCAAATTCAAATATGGATTTGCAACAATTCACAAAGAAGAAGTAATTTTCAGTTCTTTAGCTGCTAATTCTAAAAATAGATATATTCACTCATCTGTAACAATTTTTTTACAAACTATCTGGCTTTTGTTAAAATGCAATTTTCTCAAAAGAATATGTAAAAAAATCTAGATGATTATAATGTTTATTTATTACACTTTTAACTAATGACTAACTTTATTTTACAATACAAAAATTTAAAAACATTTTCAAAATTATTTTTTCTGAATTTGCATTGCAAATAGCTTTCTTCTTAACTTTTGTCTGAATAGCTAGGATGAAGAATTATCATTATTTACATTTTTTTCATTCAGGTTGGATGTGGAGATACAGTGATAGTGGCTTGGATTGAGGAATTGGAGAGCCAAGTTCAAATTCCAGTTGAATCCATTACATTCACTTATGTGCTAATACCCTTGGGAAGGGTACGATTCCTCCTCCCAGCTATGGGTAAATAGCAGGACAGATCAGGTTCTGTAGCCTTGAATGGCAACTGGTCTACCACAGAAAGAAATGGCAACGTATTGCAGGAAAAAACCTGCCTCGTCAGTCATGTATCGAAAGATATATGATCGCCTAAGCATGTATCATGTATGGGACATAATTGACTGATATTCAGGTTATTGTTCTCATCTTTGTTCTTGTTATCAACGTCTTGGCCATTGCACTCTCCAGCCCTCCTCATGTGTATATTGATCTGGTTAATCTACAGTTCAGAATCCCCTGTAGGTTACCCAGAATGATTTAAACTTGAGGAAGGCTAGAGAACACAATGGCTGAAAAATTGTGATAACAAAAATGATGACAATAGTCTAAATATAAATAGTTTAAATAACTATCTTTAATTGTTAATTATAGAACATTTTGACATTTTTTTTCAAAATAAGAATGACAGAATATATTTTAGGTGCTAAAAACAGATATAATTAAAAGGGAGCAAAACAGGAAAAAAAAAGAAAATCCAACATCTTTGGTTGTTGACAAGACAAAATTAGAGGCAAAAAAGAAAAGAAAGACAAACAAAAATTTTCACTGATAATGTCTAAACACATTTTCCTTTAAAGTCAGTGTGCACAAAAATTTTACTTTCCTCAATTGAATTCTGATGAGTGAGGAACAAAAAGTGGATAACTTATTCTATAGTATTGTAGGGAGACCACAGTTGTTTTCCCTTGGGTTGAGCTCATGAGAGTTCAGTCGCTTTAGAGAGAACTCTTCTGTGTTTTTTTTCTTTTTGCTTCCATTTTTTTTGACAAACAATTATTACCTTCATGACCACCAGGGCGTTCATGCACGTGGAAGATGGACAACATGTGCACAGCCAAACATGGAGAAAAATAAGTAATTTTGATTCACCTAGCAAAGGACAGTCAAAGGCCATAAGGCTGGTATGTTATTTCTTTGTTTGTTGTTCTGTTAAATAGACAGTAGGAACAATCATTTGTTTTGGAACGTGTAAATCCTTTTAATATGTGCTTGTAAGCTGTATTTTACCTTATTAATTTTTTTTTGTTATAGGTATGTATCTCGTTTTCTATATTCGCATTCAGTGTTAGTGTATCAATAGCTACACTAATACTAATATTAGTACTCGGCATACTGAGAGACTAAAACGTTATTCTTCCTAATGCTAAATAGCCAGTAAATTATGGCTAGCTGATAAATAATACTAATGGTATTATTTTTTCTTTTTATACAACTGCAGTTGAAGTTTTCTTTATGTCCATTTTAAATATGGATTAGGGATAAATGAAATACAATCAGATCAGTAATATATTTATATATCTATAAACAAAACACACTAATTCCTAAAAAAACAATCCTTTTGTTTACATAAGGATAGTTGTCTTGATTTAATAGAAAATGTCTCAAGGACTTTTAGGTGATAGTCTAAATGTGATCCACTCAAAACTGAGAGCATATCCTCACCAAGGGTGACACACATTCCCAAGTGTTTTTTTCATAAGATGTTTGGAGATTTCTGACCTGGCTGTAATGGAATGCTTATGTAAATTTTCCATTCAAACTTTTTTAACACATACTATAGAGATAACCATGTCAATATATTATTGATATGTATTTCTTACTTCATGTTTCCCTTTTTTTGGTCAATGTGTACAGTATTTCAATTTCTTCAATTGAGTTCTGATTAGTGAACAGCGATAACCAGTTAGTTTATTCTATCGTATTTTTTTTTCCTATTACCAACTTGTGGGTGACGATTTATTCTCCCTCCTCCAACCTCTCTCTCTCACAAGCAGGGTATGGCAAGCCTCTTATTGCTCTATCACTATTTGCGCAGAAAGTAATTGGATGAACTACATTCCCTGTCTTGCCAGTTCAAACTTTAATGTCAAGGACATGCAATAACATTTACATTTTAATTTTTTCGATCAAGATCTGACAAGTGAGGAGTGATAAATTGTTAACTTATTTTGTTTCATTTGTTTTATACTTTCTTGCTCCAAATTTCATATTGACAATTATTGTTGTTTACACTTTTTGTTTCTTTTAATTACATCCATTATTACCTTAATTAAATTTTATACTTCTAAGAAGAAAAAATAAACCTTTTTAATGAGTTTAAAGAATTAGTGAATAAACTTCATTTAATGACGCCAACTATCTTGTATCTTATATCTTGATCTTACATCAAAATAGAATTGTTCCTGGAATTTTTGATTCAGGTGGATTTGCAAGACACTAAAGAATGGTGCATTTACTTTTCCTATTCACCAAAGCTTTGTCTTTACCTGATTATATATAAGCAATTAGGGAATAACCTTCACTTAATGACACCACATATCTTGCATAGAAATAAATTTTGAATCGGGATTTTCAATTCAGATGGATTTTCAAGACACAAGAGATTGGGGAATCTAAACATATGTATGAATATACAGGGTGTGATGAATAAACTGTTATCTAAATAACACAAAAATGGAAATAACACTGACATCATTTTAACAGATCTACAGGGTGCGATGGATAAATTGTCGTCTAAATTATCCAAAAATGAAAATAACACTGACATCTCATTTTAACAGATCTACAGGGTGCGATGGATAAATTGTCGTCTAAATGATGCAAAAATGAAAATAACACTGACATCTCATTTTAACAGATCTACAGGGTGCGATCGATAAATTGTCTTCTAAATGATGCAAAAATGAAAATAACACTGACATCTCATTTTAACAGATATACAGGGTACCTAATCTAAAACAGGGACAAACAAAAGGGAAATAAACTTTATGGTTTCTGCACTGTGTAACAGAACACTCGTATATAAGATTTTTGAAGCATCAATAAAATTATTACCTGAATAAGATTCACTTTTCTCTTCCTGTGTCATCAAAATATACATGTCGAGAAAATCTCGAAGATTTTCAGCATCAAAGGTTTCTCGATGTTCCTGAATTTTCTCCCGAACATAGGCACGCAGAATTTCATCATTTTTAATCATAGTCTGTACCTAAGTAATAAAAATGGAATGAATAAACTATCAAATGTCAAATGTAATCCATAAAAAATTGTTCTTTATAAAAAGTATTAAATTTGATGTAATGAAAACAATTTTTAATGTCATGTCCTTTCAGGGTGTAGGCGATCATGGTTTTCCACATTTCCCTGTTACATCTTTCCATACATGACTGACAAGGCAGATTTTTTCCCACAGTAGGTTGCCATTTCTTTTTACATTAGACCAGTTGCCATCCAAGACTACAGAATCCAGTCTGTCCTGCTATTTATCCATAGCTTGGGGGAGAAGAGGATTCATACCTTTCCCAAGGGTATTAGCATATAAGTGAATGATGTCACACATTATGAAATGGACAAAGTCCGACAATTATTTTAAGACATTTTTATTTTTATTGATTCTTTGATTTATTGATTCTATAGATACAAATATTTAAGTAAATGCTCTGTTTATAATAAACAGTATTAAACAACATTTATCAGCCTGAATGTCCGAGAAATTTTCACAGAAATCGAATCCTGGTCAGAGGACAAATATTTTCTGTGAAAATTTCTCGGACATTCAGGCTGGTAAATGTTGTTTAATACTGTTTATTATTTGATACCGACCAGTCTATGAGAAGGAAAACTATAGATTCTTAACCACAGAGAAGTCAACAGGAAATCACACCACTATCTTTCTCATGAAGTCAGGATAATTCACAGATCACAAGTTTGATACATGATTGCCTAAGCGTGTATTACACATGGCACATAACTGACTGAACTTCTTGAGTCTTATTACTTTTATTGCATTGCTTAAGATGAAATTATTAAAAAAAAACGAAAGGTGGGATTTGTATGAAAGAGAACAGAACAGATGAGCTTGGTATTTGAACACAATTCACAGATTTCACAATGATAGCCATTACACAACACATACATTATATGAAAATTATAAAAGTAGAAAACAATATTTATAAGATTAAATTTGCATTTTTGCCATTTTCTCAAAGCTATCGATGACTTAATCATATTTTATATACAATGTCATGAGTTAGAAAACAACTTTTTTCTTTCCAGAAGAGTTCAAAATTAATGAAAAGATTTGCAGTAATAAATCAAAATTACAGTCTGTCTGTGGATGACAATATATACTTAAATTTGGTTGTGCACTCTTGAAAGATAAATGTGAATTTGTAAACAATGACTATTACTACTAATATTACAAGGCTCTTCCCTTCCATGAATTGAGTACTGCCAGTCATTGATGTGTTTATTCACAGAGTAAATACGTAAAAAATTAACCTTTCTTTCAAACATGTACCAATGGCTTATGGGGAAAATCTCTGACTGTTGTCAGATCAGTCGGGTTTTGATCTCGGCTTGAAGCAATCAGATACTTAGCCACACTGATGAGCTGTGAAACAGCAAAACAGTCTCTCTGTGGATTACAATGAATACCAATTTATTAAAATTTTAATTGAAAATATTTCAAAATTAAGAACAATAGCAAAGAGCATTTTTTAGAATTTTAGAAATTATTTAGATTTTCTCTTGGACATAATATTTTGTTCATATTGCTTGATTGAGATCTAATGAATAAAGGTAAAGATATTGTTAATATTATCCATTTCCCTATATGGAAACATTTGACATTCATTGAACAAGCAGTCAGTACTATTTTCAGTGGAAATTTATCAAATCTTTGTCTGAAAAAAACTTTTATAGGAAAAAAAAATTCTCAAGTCCATCTTTTATATTTTCTCTGATAATCCTTTCACATAGGGTAGGCAGACCGAAGCTGCTTTCTGAGTGTTGTTATGCTCTTGTAGCCTTCTTTTCCAGCTTGTCAAAGCTGCTGCCATGTACCCAGGGTAGTTGTTACGTTGTAGGGCACTGCTTATAATGACCATTTCTTGATCATATGTCTCTGGTTCACCACTTATGACTTTTGCTCGATATTGTAAGCAGCGGATGATCCCTTTCACTTTAACAGGTGCTACTACCCATCGTCAGGTTGGATCTGGGAACAACAACAACTAAGGGGTAGTTCCACAGCCCTCAAAAACTCCAAACTGCTGATCAGAGGTCTTTGCTATCAGATATATTTTATCTCCAGTTTTGTGACTTTATGCTCAGGGTATATATATATATATATATATATATATATATATATATATATATATATATATATATATATATATATATGTGTGTGTGTGTGCAGATACGTAGAAAAATAGGAAAGAACACGTTAGGTAAATAATCCGGAGTTCTTTAGTATTATTCTTTTTTTTTATTTTTAAAAAACAGTGCTCCATACAAAAGTAGAGCTTAAATTATAATTATTTTTAAAAAAATATGATTCCTTCGCTACATAAGAGCCCTCTTTCTTTTGACCTCTTTCCGAAGGTGACTGATATCTTGATACAAATTAACTCGTATGCCCCTTATCAAAATGGTCATTTCAATAGTAATTAATTTCGCGAATGGACAGGCTTATAAAGATGCGTAAATTTCAAGATTGGTTATTCCTAAATTTTTGCTTGAGGATGAAACAGGGCTTGATACTTTAACTCAATTTAAATTTAATAATTATATTGAGGTTTTTGGCTCTTGTTTTTGAAACATGAGAACTCTTATGTAGCGAAGGAATCATTTTTTAAAAAAATAATTATATATATATATATATATATATATATATATATATATATATATAGAGAGAGAGAGAGAGAGAGAGAACATATAAAATTGTATTTTTATGCTTTCACAGTGTTTTGTGTTTATTTTCACTATTTCTCATACCTGGAACCCTAATAAGCGAGAGCAAGATCTAAAAGGTCAGCCAATCTAACAGTGATCTCATCTCACAATCCTCACACTTGCTCCATATGTGGCCTCCTTTGTAAATCACTAGCGGGTCTTAAATGCCACTTAAGATTATCGTACAAAATTTCATAACTGAATCAATAGCTGTCACATCCTTATACATTGAAACCGACAGGAGAGTCCATTATATATATATATATATATATATATATATATATATATATATATATATATATATATATATATTCTCATAGAAAGAAATATAAGCCTCTGTAATAAACATCTTGTGCTGTTTCATGAAAGCATGAGTCTTCATCTGTATGGATGGTGATAGTTGAATTTGAGATATTATCTGGTGAATGTTGGCTTGTGGTATACATACGTCTTGAACCCATGTTCTGTTTGAGATATTAGTACATCAAGGAATGTGAGTTTGTTGTTGTTTTCTGACCTTTGATTTTGATTATCTAAGTACTGATGTGTTTTTAGATCTGGAAATTTCTCAGTAAATCAGTCAGAAACAATGATCATATAACTGTTGAGGTAACTTTATAACTAATCAAGCAAATTAGATATTCCTTGGGTTGGTTGGTTGGCTTATTTTGTTTAGCGGCATATTGACACCTCTATGGGTTATTTAATGCTGGAATATAAATATTTTGAACAATTTTCAACTAAATATATTTCAAATGTAATTGTATGCTTCCAATGACAGATAAAATGCATTGTTGGTCATTTTGCTATAAAATGTATTGTTGATAATTCTATAAAATTGTATTTTTATGCTTTCACAGTGTTCTGTTATTATTTTCACTATTTCTCATACGTGGGACCCTAAAAGATTCTACCATCCAGGGTCAGGGAAGATTTGAGAACAACAGCAATTAAGAGGTGATTCCACAATCCTCAAAACTTCAATCTCCTGATCAGAGGGCTTGCAACCAGTTTATTATTGTGTGATATTATATAAATATCTGTATATTTATAATAAAAATTATTTATAATATTTATAATATAATATGATAAAATTTATAATATAATTATTTATGATATAATTAAAATAACATAATATAATTTTTAATATAATTAATATAATTTATAATATAATTAATATATAATATAATTAATATATAATATAATTTATAATATAATATAATATAATTTATAATATAATTATTTATAATATAATTAATATATAATATATAATTTATAATATAATTAATGTAATACAATATAATTTATATAATTATTTATAATATATTTTATAATATAATTTATGATATAATTATTTATATAATTAAAATAACATATAATTTTTTAATATAACATAATATAATTTATAATATAATTGATATAATATTATACAATTTATAATATAATTATTTATAATATATTTAATATATAATTTATAATTTAATTAATATAATATAATGTAATATAATTTATAATATAATTATTTATCATATAATTAAAATAACACAATATAATTTTAATATATAATATAATTTATATATAATATAATTTATAATATATTTAATATAATATAATTTATAATATAATTAATTTATAATATAATTAATATATATTATAATATAATATAATTTATAATATAATTATTTATAATAATTATAATAGAAATCAGAATTATATAAATTGTTTCACTATTTGCCCAGAGTGGGACCCTAACAGGTGCTACCACCCAGGGTCATATTTAATCTGGGAGCAACAGCATTTAGGAGTCGGTTCCACAGTCCTCAAAAATTCCAAACTGCAAAAAAAAAGTCTTGCTACCAGCTGTATGTTATCCTCAGGTTTGTGACTTTATGTTCAGGGTACACACACACACACACACACACACACACACACACATATATATATATATATATATATATATATATATATATATATGAGAGAGAGAGAGAGATTGGTACATTTTCATTGAAGAAAAATATCATAAGCCTCTGTAATAAACATCTTGCGCTGTTTCATGAAAGCACTTATGTACTTTGTCAGGTTATTATTATCCAGTGTACAACCTTGTGATCCCACTTCTTTAACATGGACCTTATATTCTTGTCCATGATATTTCAGAAACTGCGACTGCTAGGTGTGGGTGTTTATATTTCTATCTCTGTCAAACATTTCCTTCCCAAACTAGTAATCTAAGTGCAGCTGGTCCGGTCATGTGCATTTGCACTCATCAGCTGAGTAGTCACCGTCACCCCCTCACTTAGCTTGCCCGAATGAAACCTTGTCTATTCCAGTATGATATAGAGAATGGTGCACTGTACCTTTTTCCTTAGAAAAATGAACATCAAATGCTTTTTCAAAAATACTTACAGGTGAATTCTTGCGGATGTACTGAAGCCATGGGAGAAAGTTCTCAGGAACTTGCAAACCAGCATTTTTGAAGAGGTAGTCAAATATCTGAATGAATTCATTAAATCTTGGAGAAGTGTATTCTAATCTGAAAAACCAGGGAAAATACTTTGATGGTCGAATAATGATGGTATGAATTCAAATTAATAAAGGATTTTGTCAAAAAAAATGTTGGATTGATTTGTTTTTTTGTTTTTGTTTTTTACAGCTTATCAACTTTTGCATGTTATTTAAAGCCAAAGAGTATTTTTAGATTGTAAAATTTTTTTTTTAAATAAATAATAATTTTGTGATATATGTCCTACTAATTAACTCATAGCTGGGGGGAAGAGGTGGGTTCATATGTTTCCCAAAGGAAAATAAGGGAATATAATGAACTTCCATTTGCAAACCATTATCCATTATGCCATCTGCACATTCAAGCTTATAGCACCTGGTATTCCCAAGCGGTCACCAATCCAGGTAATGATCAGGCTTGACATTGCTTAACTTTGATGATCATACAAGACCCAGTGTTTGACCATGATATGGCTGTAAGCTTAAAAAATGCTGGAAGATTATACATCAGGCATATATATATATATATATATATATATATATATATATATATATATATATGGTTGGATTGATATGAGTTTGTGGCCCTGGGTTTCACGCTTTTGCGATCGTCAGACAAACTGATTAATTTTTAAAAAATTTTGGGTTTATGTAGATTGCGTGTATTAGTGTTATTATGGAAGTGGGGGGTCGTCGTGATGTCACTCAAGCTAACGCAAACATAGATGCATGTCCGTACACCCGTTGAGGTATGCAGACACACATACACACTCGCTCGTCCGCCGGGGCTCATACAGACATAAACATATGTGGACAGTATGGGATTTGACATATGTATGTATATGTGTGCTGTTGTCTATATACATACGCATTTATGTATGTATATAGACAACAGCACACATATACATACATAAAGAAATATGCAACTTCAGTGGATAAAAACAAGAAAATAAAATTATTCATTACTAAAAATTTAAAACCGCTAAGCTCATTATCAAAAATAATAATTCACCTGCAAAATCGACATATTCCTGACCAATCCAAATTTGTAAATAATTATATTTCATATATGGCAACATGTCTAACGTTACATCCCTAAGTCCCACGTTACATCCCTCTGACCATTAAGTCCCATATAAGTATACATGGAAACCTACCAAATTCTATCCGTAACATACTCATTGATAATACAAACAGCATCGGCTACATGCACAAAAAGTTAAAAATAATGGAAGTATTATTAATAAAAAGGAAAAAGCCAACACTCAGTAATATCAACTATGAACATGGTCACAATTGGAAAATAAAACATTCCTATAACTCTAAGTATATATATAAAACAATGCATATATTCAGTTAAAAGTAAAATAGAATTCATCCTTGATAATGGCTAAAATATAGCCGAAAGTGCTTCAAAAATATTCAGACAATTTTTATATAATTTAGTCGTGAAAAGAAAAAATATACACGAGCACATGAGAATGATACAAAAACTCAACCACCACCCTGTCTCTGAGTGTTGACTACAATATTCACTTTTATAGTTATATTTACATACGCTCTATCTCTGATATTGAGCACTTTATCCCATAAATAGAGCACACTTTAAAGCTATATTTCTTCATATATATATATATATATATATATATATATATATATATATATATAAATGCTCTAGTTGGTCATTTCTTGGTGAAATAGAAAATTTGTTTTACATATGTGTGGAGTGTAGGGGACAGAGAGAGAGAGAGAGAGAGAGAGAGAGACATCAAATGTCATTGTAAAGAAATAATAATAATTTTAGGAACATTCCCAGATAATCTTGGATCCAGAAGAAATGGAAAGTATGGGAAGAGAGGGAATTATTTTAAATATTGTAGAGACTTGGTTACACTTAATCTCAACTGAAAGCCACCAATTTCTCCTAGTGTAAAGACTTGATAATTAAATGTAAAAATAATGACAATGTTTTTTGTTGTTTTTGATGACGACGATGATGATAATACTAATAAAGAAGAAGAAAAATACCAAAATGAGGCTGAAAAAAAAAAACCAAAACTTAAAAAACACTGACCTCTGTCCAAAGATTAAATTGTAAATGATGTTAAAAGTACCATCGGCGATATGTTTCTTGAGGACGAAAGGTTTGCCTTTGTGGGCTTCAATGGCATTGGAAACTTCCAGAATTTCTTCATGTATCTTCTCTTCTAAACTTTTCTTGCCAACACCAAAATTCCGAAGAGTTGAGAGTGTAAACCTTCGTAAGTCTCTCCATACGTGCCCAGTGTTGAAAATAACCCCTGCTCATGAAAAAAAAGTTTTAAAATTAATAAAACATTAAATAAATACTGAATATTTTTTATATCATTACCTTTTCTCGTTGTTAGATTGGCAAATCATGATTACCGATATTTGAATCTAATAAATTGTATTTCATTGACAACAGTTCTATGTCCATTTATTATTATATTTGCCACTTGATATTTTGGCCAGATCGCCACTTCTTACCTTACCAACATTGGCATTCTTCAGATTATACAAATTAATTCCTTGGCATTTCTATGTTGTATTTTAATTGTTTTTTATTTCAAATATACACTGATTTATTAATTTGATTGATGTAACACTTAGCAAAGTCACCTAAATATCAGGTCATACCATAAGTTCTGTCCGAATTTTGAATAAAGAAAACAAGTGACCAAATGTTACATTTAATTACAGATTCAATCAACAATGTATTTTCCCTGATTATCTATGACTTCCTTCTATCTATTAACAAGCTTACTAATTCCATTACTGTAAAATTCTTTTGGCTTTGATTCGAAGAACTCACAAATGTCAGTTTTAACCTCTTCCTGTGTTACAAAAGCTGTTTCTTCCAAATGATTTTGTAAACTACGAAACAAATGGTAGTCTGAAGGAGCAAGATCGGGAGAATAAGGTGGATGAGGAATTTTCTTCCAACCAAGTTCTTCGATCTTTTGTGACCTGATTCTTGCTGTGTGGGTCGCGCATTGTCCTGATGAAACATCACCTCTTTTCGATTCCCTAGAGCAGGTCTTTTTTTCCTCAAAGCTTGGTTCAAACGCTCTAATTGCTGACAGTATATTTGAGCATTAATTGTTGCATTAGGTGGTAAGAATTCAAAGTGGATTATTCCTTGGCAATCCCACCAGATTGAAAGAAGAACCTTTTGCCCATGAAGTTCCCTTCTTGGCTGTGGCTGGGGTCCTTCCCCTTTACCAAGCCACTGTCTACGACGCTTAACATTTCAATAAAAGATCGATTTTTCGTCGCCAGTCACAAGTCTATCCAAAAAAGGTGAAACGAGTTGGCGAGAATGGAGAGAAGAGCAGATGTCAATTCGGGATTTGAGGTTGTTTTCAGACAATTCATGAGGCACCCATTTTCCAAGTTTAGGAACTTTTGCAAGTTGTTGAAGATGACGATGAACAGTTGTATGGTTTGAACTGAGAACCACTGCCAATTCCTCAACTGATAAAGCAGGATTTTCTTCAAGGGCTGCTTCAAGAAGCTTTTCATCAAACTCAACTGGACGTCCGGTTCGATCTTTATCTTCAAGGGTAAAATCTCCACCTCTGAATTTTGCAAACCATCTTCTGCAAGTTCTTTCATTCACACATTCCTCTCCATAAACTGAGTGAATGTTTCTAGCCGCTTCGGCTGCTGAGTTTCCTTTCTTGAACTCATAAAGCATTATGTGCCTCAAATGATTCTTGGGTACTTCCATGTTAGCAGGGTTTTTATCAAACAAAATTTAATTTTGTTGTTCTCTGAAATAAAATTTGATCAGTTTAAATGCATCTAAACATAGAAATAATGTTCAGCTCCATTAGACATTATAAAATACTCTTTAAATTTTGTTCATTTTAACAAAAAGTTAAAATTTGGACAGAACTTATGGGATGATATATAACTGTAGAGGACTGTTGTGTTGTTTGCGTGTGGTTGTTTGAATTTTGGGAACACGTGTGTTTCATTTCTTGCTAGATAGTTCACTACAAGAAAAATGGCAGACTTGAATTAAATCCAACCGACGATGAAAAGAAGACAAACAAACAAGACCGATATATATATATATATATATATATATATATATATATATATATATATATGTCAACAAATATATGTACTAAACAAACTACAAAGCACATAGACAGTTAATATGTGTGTATATGGGAACATTTGTTGTTTGTTCTTTGGTGAATGTTCGTATTTTGGTGAATGTTCGTACAAAGAGAAAACAATTAACTTAGATGAAAGTGTATAAAACGTGCTTTAATCACTAGTTCAGTCCCAGTAAGTTATCTATTATCACAATGTGACAAATTTGAAACGAAAGTGGTGGAAACATCAACAAAAAAGAACTAAATGAATTTAAAAAGAAATTTAAATTAATAATTCTAAGAGTCCCTTCTCATTTGTCCCCGTGTGTAACCAAATCAACGTAACCTTTACTTCAGTCTGATGTAGTCCTGTTATACTTCGCGGTAATTAGATCTCTTTCTGATACACTCTACATATCGGCTGGATGTGAACGCTAAGTTGGTTGCTTGGTTCTTTTGTTTTATGGCATATCAACTTCAGTGGATCATTTAATGCCAACAAAATTTTTGAAATAGATTCATAGCGATAGTTTGAAAAAAAAGGTGTGTATGTATACATATATATTTGAACCATTTTTCAATTACTCATATTTTTGAGTACAATCTAATTTCTTTTAGGAAATTTACAGTCTTGGATGGTTTTATTTTCGTAAAAAAAAGTTTTTTTTTTAATTACTCACTTGTTAATATTTTGTTCACACTAGATCAAAATCTACACATTCTATTTTTCACTGTAAATTTCTCTTGACATGTAGTGCATATTGGGTTGGTTGGTTGTTCGTTTTGTTTTATGGCATATCAAAACCTCAGTGGATCATTTAATGCCAACGAAATTTTGAAATAGATTCGTAGCGATAGTCTGGTAAAAAAGGTGTGTATGTATACACATATTTGAACCATTTTTCAATTACCCGTATTTTTTAGTACAATCCAACTTCTTAAGAATGTATAGCTGTTTGTATTTCTGGTATTTTTTTTATAAGTATTGCTGATAATAATTTTTCCTTAAAAAATTATTGCTAGTAATAAGTTTTTTTTATTACAAAGTATTTTGGCATTAAAATCTATTTTTACACAAGTTTGAGTGTTATGTTAGCTCATAGCTGGGACCCTAACAGGTGCTATCACCATGGGTCAGGGTGGACCTGGGAACACCAGCAATTAAGAGGTGGTTCCACGCTCCTCAAAACCTCCTGATCTGTTGGATGTAGTTTATCGTCTTACCCAGGACGCGGATGTAGTTTATTGTTATACCCAGGACGCGGAAGTAGTTTATCGTCTTACCCAGGACGCGAATGTCGTTCATCGTCATACCCAGGACGGGTGAACGCTAAGAAAGCAAATCACTAAATAAAAAGTTTATTTTCTACACAGGGGCCACGAGCATAACATCTGATCCACAATACAAATCCTTGCAATAGAATAAAATAAAATAGCCAGTCTGGGAACCACCATATTTGATTATAAGAAAGTCTCTTGTAACATGTAAAAACAGCTGTGCACCGAAAGGCCACTTGTCGATGCATTGTTGCTGTCACTGCCATCACCACCATGATATCGTGCAAGCTTCCCTAATCTCACCCAACTCATGTAGAACGTGGCTACCGAGCCAGCTTCGACAATACCAGTATCCTGACACCACCATGATTTCTAATACCAAAACATTTTTATTATCCAGCTCCAGGCCTCCCACATTGTCACTACCGTGACCCCATCTTGGTGATACTACATTCGACCAGAATCTAACAGAGACAATTCTGTACAATCAACCATCACGATCCACCCCCAGACATCCTCGTTGTCACCACAGTGAGTCCATTTTGTTGTTATCTCATTTAAACAAAATTCAACGGAGACATTCGCTTGATCAGCATTCGTTAACCACTCCCGGCCTCCCTTGTCTCCACCGCTGTAATCTTAGCCTCGCCATGACCTCGATTAACCAACCTGTTAATCAACTTTACCAGGCAGTACAGCTTCAACATCTCGCCACGACACAACCACCAACCCATGAAACACCTTACAGACGTCAATTACAAGCATGAAGAAGGCTGTACGTCAAACCCCATTAGTGGCTGCTCCACACCAGCCCTATCCTCTGACTCCAACTGTGACCTCGGTCAACCAGCCCAACAAATCGGTCAACTCCTGGCCCTATCAACATCACCCTTGTACCTAATTGATTTCTTTATCAAAAACAACTGAAAAACCACGCATGATCAATTTTTAGCAAATTTTAAACAAGTATATATATATATATATATATATATATAACTTGCATTATATATATAATGTATAGGGTTATTATTTACCCTATTCAGACCGTTATCTTCGTCTTCATTGCCATATTCACAACGTTTCGGCCGCTGTACTCTCCAGCCTTCTTCAGGTGATTGGAATTTCGAACTGAAACCTTTATTTCGTCTACTGGAGTAGATTGTTTTAGTTCCACGTGCCACGCCTCTTCCGGATATCTCAGTTATTTCTCTTCAACTCAACTCTCTAAATTTTGGTTCACCACTGTTGTGGTCTGGTAGTGAACTCAAAACTCTTTGGGTCTAGTCACTGGATTTAACCAACGTCTTTATCCACTGGGCCATGAGGATAACAGTCCGAATAATGTAAATAATGCAAGCAATCATAATACGTCATCTCAGAGATCCAAACACATGAAGAAGGCCGGACCGTACAACGGCCGAAACGTTGTGAATATGGCAATGAAGATGAGGCCAACAGTCTGAATAATGTAAATAATGTAAGTAATCATAATACCTCATTTCTTTTATATATAAATAACTAGCAGTAGAGCCCGGCGTTGCCCGGGGATGTAACAGTAAGAGATAGATCAAGTATCGACCATCATAAAGACTGAAAAATAAAATTGACAAAGATTATTGTTTAAGGTTGACGGAAACGCATGTCTTAATTAGTTTTTTTTTTTTTTTTTTTACGAATTGGTCAGACCCAAATTCAAACAAAAACATTGTTTACAATCGTTATGAGTCTATCGATTGGTGAATAGAATTTTATTATAAACAATTGTCTTGTAAATGGAATTTTTAAAGCATTCTGAATGTAATTAAAGAAAAAAGTGTGCAAGACAATAAGAAATACTACCTGCCGAAAAAAAAAGTGGATGTTTGTTTTATCGACTGAAAAATGTAAGAAATCCG